CACCACCACCCACCCACCCCAAACACACACACATACATATTGTACCTGTATATGCACTGCACCCTTTTCTCATGTGAGGACCATGGCCTCCGATTTGGAGATACTGAATGCTAAGCCCTTTTTTTCTCTGCAGGCCTGGTATACATGATAATAAAACAACAAGTGGACCGGTATAACATTTACTACATTTATCGGCCAACAAAGCTGGACATGAGTATCCACTCTGGAGCTGTCAATCAAGCTATGGTTGGGCCCATTCTGGGAATGTTGTGGCAGTTTTTCTTCTTTATGAAGCGTTCTGGTATGACATTCACGATTTTGTGTTTTTGTTTTAATCTTTTGTGCGATTCAAGCCAGTGATGCATGAACTTTCTATCCCCAGGTCTTTTTGCTTCTTCCACCATATTCACAGGGACCATGCTGCTCATCACGTTCATAATCTTTATCGCACGTGCCTGCTTTGGACGTTTGAAAAAGTTCACTCCTCACAACTATCAGGTCACAAGCTTTGATTCCTTGGTGAATGTGAGTTTGGTTGTGTGACTTGTGTCTATTTCAACTTTAAGCTAAAATCCCTTGTTTTGGTCATAGGTTGACATCCATCATGAACATGTAAGGGCCGAAAACCCAGAAGGTGAAGATCAGAGCACAAACCTATATTCCCTCTTTCAGTTGAAATAGATTTCTCTACGGTGCCACGCGGGCGCCGGTTGAATTGTACGGATTAAAATGTATGTCGTCATGTTTATTGTCAAAATGGGGTGAAGCACCTGAAGAGATGATTGAGCACTGAGGAAAATGGATTTGAATTTGGAAAGTCGACCGAATGCAATGCGTCCATTTTCCAAACCTTATATTCTCAATAGGGTTGCGAATAAGCGGAAGCTTATCCCGGCTGACTTTGAGGCGAGAGGCAGGGAACACCCTGAACTGTCTGCCAGTCAATAAAACATGCAGCATTAGAAATATATGTATTATAATAATATAATATCTATTAGTGTTATCAAGATAAGGACTACTTAGTCAACTGCTCTTAACCGAGCCCAGAAAGCTGGCTTTCGGACTCACCAATACTCTTTCTTGCATTTGTTTTGCATTAAGAATTGAATATAAATAAACAATTGTCTGTAATGGCATTGATTGGTATGGTGTTTGAAATGATACAAATAAATTTGTCTAATCATTTTGTGATGTACCCAAGTGTATTGCTAGACCAAAAAAACAAAAGTTCTATATCACGGTATAACATGATAAATAAAATAAATTTCATGTTTTAACATGACACTGTAAATATGTCAAAAATTGTCTCGTTTGGGACTTTCAGCATAAAACAAAGCAAATCGTTCAGCTCACTGGCAGAGCGAGTCTTACATGTCTTTTTCAGTCTTAAATCTTTTTACACACTGCCTTATTTAATTTTTACAATATGATGTAACGGCACTGTTTTCAGTGTGATCACTTAACCACGTTAGAATGTTAAACTTACCATGTGAAAATTATCATGTTAAACATAATTACCGTATCACATTAAAATGTGAAGACATCACTTTAAAACATGAGAATTCTTTACGTTATATTCTTCTGGTGAGGCACGAATACCCTTTCGGAGTTTACCTAATTTGATGTGTGACAAAATACTAAAAAGTACAAATTGTGTTGGTGTACCTAATGTTGCGGCCACTGTATGTGTACCCCCTCTGCATGGTTTTGCTTCAGGTGTGCCATGAAATAGAAACACAAAGTTCCTCCCAAGTGTGGCCACTGTAGCCTGCAGTGCAGCACGAATTAAAACCAGATCTGCCCGTGTAAATTATGAAGAATCGGCTTGGGAAAAAACAAAAACAAAAAGGACATTGATCTGACAAAAGCCTATGATGCACATTGGCCACAGAACACTGTACAAGGCCTTCAAACGAATTGAGATGGCTGCCAAAGAAATGGTGCTCATCTTTTAATATGTGAGTGGCAAGCATGCAATATGGTTGAGCGTTAAGCTTTAAAATGAGACATTCAACGCAAAAAGATTCGGATCCCCAAGGTCATGTAAAATGAGTGCAAGATAATGGAGGCAACCATCTTTTTGCTGCAAAGGGAGCAAGCCAGTTTCAGGATTCTGCGCAATACTGTATATGTCTTTCGAGAGCATTGATTCCCATCCATTGTGCTGGCAGAAGGTACAATTAACCACGATTAACCAGTAGGGTGGTAAACAGCTTCTAGTATTAGAGTACATGCAATAACATTCAGTATAAGCTTCTAAAAGAAGCTCAGGACAGGTGGGATGACCTTTCTTGTCCAAACTGAGAAGACGCAAATGACCAGAAAGAGTGCAAGGTCATGGCTAATTGCAAATCCATTCTGAGAAGATAAACTTCTCCATTCAAGTGGCAGATTTTTCTAGCCATAGTGTCACGCGCTACCAAAACACATGCGATGTTCTCTTGCTGACACCACTGTCATCTACTTGACTAAATCCTCTAAGCCAAGCACCGTGCTTGCCTTAAACCCAACTGAAGCTACATGTGCTGCGCTGGCGTTTGTGTACTCGACTGTGGCTGAAGCAGCAGTGAATTCTATAACAGAGGCCAACAGCAACTCGTCGATTTTAAATTTTCACCACCATCAGGAGTTATTTATTCATTTTCCGAACCGCTTTATCCGCACTAGGATCACGGGGGGTGCTGGAGCCTATCCCAGCCGTCTTAGGGCAGTAGGCGGGGGACACCCTGAACCGGTTGCCAGCCAAACGCGGGGCACACAGAAACAAACAACCATTCACGCTCACACTCACACTGAGGGACAATTTGGAATGTTCAACCAGCCTGCCATGCATGTTTTTGGAATGTGGGAGGAAACCGGAGGACGCAGGCCCGGGGAGTACATGCAAACTCCACAGAGGAAGGCCGAAGCTGGAACTGAACCCGGTACCTCTGCACTGTGAAGGTGACGTGCTAACCAGTCGACTACCGGGCCGCTAGGAGTTATGCAATTAATGACAAAATAAATCTTTCAACTACAGAAGGCTTCACTGAACTATTCAAGGTGCCATTCTTTGGGGTAATGTATTTCTATCCATATAATCAATGGCTGACTATAGTCTGAGCCTTTAATTGGATCTCATATTATGAAGGTTTTTTTTTTTTTTTTAATGCTGACAAGAACAAAACCGCGCTTTCTGGAAAAAGTGAGATAAGGCTGCATTCCCAAATACTTAGGCAGGACAAAAGGTTGACTTTTAGATAGCCTCCATTTTTCACACCTTATTACTGTAGGAAGGGGATAAAAATTTGCAAGCAGACCACGCATGCTAGGAGTATATTTTGCACTGTGAAAGCAATATTCCCAGGGTAGACAGCATAATACAACAGGGAATTGTTTATTTCCATCCAACCAGCTGCCACCATTCCTCCACGCTCTTGCCAGCAAATACAAAGATATTACTGAGGCAGGTGGGAAATGTTCTAGTTAGCACCACCAGAACCAGAACTCACGCCAAAGCACCATCAAGTCAACTTGGAGAAAGGATAATGCAGTGTCAACATATTGAAAAGATGTTGAATGAGGAAGGCAATATGACTTCAGAGTGAAAGTGAATGTCCTGTCAAAAAAAAAAAAAAAAAAATTAAAAAAAACTCTCAGTCCTATGAAGAAAAACAAGACTTGTTCAGAGTGAAAGTGAATGTCCTGTCAAAAAAAAAATAAAAAATAAAAAAAACCTCTCAGTCCTATGAAGAAAAACAAGACTTATTTACTACACGCGGGAAAAGAAGAAAAAAAAATCAGACTTCTTCAAAGTACGAGTCCAGATCTTCTGACATCTCGGCCGAATCCTGCGATGCATTTGTGTTGGCTGGAGCTGCTGCCTTCTCTCGAGGTGCAGGGGAGTTTTTAAATGCAGAGTTTCCCTGTGACCTCTGCGGGGTGTCCACCATCTCGCGTTTGGCATCTTTGCCGCCTCCTAAAATCTTCTGGCTCTCCACAAAGTACTGGTTGGGGTGATTGAGGGAGAAATTCGCATCCTCGACCTGGCATTAAAAAAAAAGAGAAAAAAAGTAAGCTTTAATTATTGTTGGCTGGAAATGAAAGTTTTAATGGAAACGTGCCATTCACACAGCGGAAGAAGGCACGCCTGTCAGTGTATCAGGATTTTGTTCAATTAAACAAGACCCAGATTTCACACCTGGTAAGTCAATTTGAAAGGAAATTGTAACACTGACATCATCATTTCAGTATTCATACTTTTTGTGACATTTTTGTTTGGTGATTGTGGTGTCGAATTGCACACCACCATACTGAGTTGTTTCAAATATTTTGTTAACCCCATTTATCCTAATGTGGAATAACACCTACTTTAGCATCGGCACAGAAACAACATGGGCCAATTCAGCCACACCACTCTAAAATATAGCTGGCAAGTATTTCAAAAGAGGTCAAGTCTCTTCTTCCTGTATCCATGGTTACCCCCAGCTTGACAAAAAGTCCACTTACATTGTGAGTCAGCTCAAAGTACTTTTGGCAAGCCAGTTGGTAGTGCATCCCTTTGACCAGGTCCATTATCTGCAGGGAAAAGTAGAAGGACAACGTTGGACTAAAGTTAACTTGAACCATTTTATTCCTGCCCAAAATGAAACACATTAAACACTATGGGAAGGACGGAATGCCTCAGAGTGGTTACGATGGTGGCTAAAAGGGATCAGAAGCCTGAGGACCCACCTGACTGATACCGCTTGGGGACACTTTGTAGAACTGAAGTTTCTGCTTCAGCAGCTCCGAGTCACTGTGACGAAACGGACACCCTACAAATACAAAATAAACACCAGCCCTTAAAAAAATAAATAAAAAAATAAAAAATAGCCATGGAGCACAACAAAGCAAAAATTAGGAATGAGTCGTGCTTACAAAGCACCTGCTCTAATCTGGACAAAAGTATTGGGACATCTGGCTTTGTTATATTCCCTCACGTGTAGGTTCTCTCAAATGTCGATTTTGAAAGTGTGTATGTATGTATCCTTCTTACGTGGACTTTGCCCTTTCCATCGAATCGCTGTAAACTCACCATGATGGTCGCCTTGGCTTGGCGGGTTTGACAAAATCACTTTCATGCAGCTATAGGGGGTGTAGTCCGTCCTCTTGCCTTCTTTGCCAAACATGTGGCGGATGTTGTAAGCGTACGCTTTATCAAACTAAGAAGCAGAGGAAAAGGAGGGTAGTGTTGGAGAGGTGGGGGGCAAGGTTGGGGTGAAAAGAGACGTTATACATCATCCCACTGTTGACACTTTGTTTTCCCTCAATGAAACATGGAGCTATTAGAGGGAACCTGTGGTGGAAGTAAAGTTAGTTGAATTATGTCTAACACGGCCATCTCCGCCTCTCCAAGCTTTTGTCTTGAGCAAGGAATTTAGATGTGAACTGGCAAAGAACATGTGGGGAAGTTTTTTTTGGGGTCACTCACAGGCCGCACAATGGATCACTTTCGAACCCGACTCAGCGGCGTTCAGACATTAAGAGTGAATTAAGGTTGCCCGCTTCTAAAACTCAAACAGTAAAACACCCAGCGCACTCCTACCTTTGCACACACGATAACACATTTGTGCTGCAATAAAACCCCTGAACTTGCCAATGTAACAATCTCGCATGGCAATTTAAAACACATCAAATCTTCTCCAAGTACAATAAATCTCGTATTAATTATTGAAAGCCTCTCAGGATTCGCGGGGTAATCTCCGGCCTTGAGGCACCCCGCCTCTTTTATTGAGACGAACACTGACGTTCCGCTCCCACTTAAGTGTGTTTAATGGGTATTAGGTGCAATCATGAAGACATCATAACACCCTAAAACATCGAGTTAAGCATAATGTGAAAAGTAGCCTTTTCCAGATATTTCAATTGTATTTTGCCTTTTCCATGCTCTCCTAAAATCTTCTCCATCAAGTCATCCTTTTTTTTTTTAACTACAGTGCACAATTCTATGCCACTTCAGAATCCACTGACCATCAACCTTTTCCATAAAATTGAATGAAAAAAAATGCATAAGAAATGATCTAAATGGTTCAACCATAAAGCCGTTATTTACTGTATAGTACGGCTGTGTCTTGAGTAACACTTGAACATATCTGGCAAGTGTAACAAATCCGTACAAACTCCAAATGGCAGAAGCGTCCTAAGATCACGTGACTCTTTCAAAATATTGTACTGAATAGCCACAGTTCCCTTATGCCATCACAAAACTCCTGGCAAAAGGAAAACCAAGTGCTTAACAAATTTATTGTACCACCAGGCAAGGTAAGGTTACTAACAAAAAAAAGTACCGGTAATTGGTTTTTTTTTTTCATTAATGCACCAACATGTAGAAGCTCTTGAACTGAAATGATGTTTTTAATGAGAAACTTGTAAAACTTGTTTTATTTGATGACATTCCCAGGCATTCTTGCAACTATTAAAAACAATAAATAAAGAAATAAATCGCGCCAAAGCCTACTCTGCTCCTCATGTGAGCAACATTCTCATTTCCTGCACTGTGGGCTTAGTCCTCGCTAAAAACGACTACCATGAGTGAGTGCTTTGTACTTTTAAAGCACACTTTAAAAATACAGTATAGGGGGAAAACAAAATCCGGGCACCTAAGACGTGTTTGGGGGAATGTTAATTATAAATAGCAATGAAAAATGAATATGTTATAGACGGGTCATGCCTGATTATCATGTTTTTTTTTTAATGTTTAATATGATACACATGAGGCATCTTACTAAAACAATACAATATACTGCTTCATAACAGGGCATTGAATTCATATTTAACACGATTGAGGTTAGCGTGTTGGTGTGGCACTCGACAATTAATTCAGGCTTTCACGGCCGCTTTTCACTGTCTACCCTGCTCTTGACCCTCTCTTGATTTTTGCCGTCTCACCGCAAGTCACTTACAACAGATGCTGTTCTAACTCATATACATATTAATGAATTGAAGCCGATGTGACACAGCAGAAAAAAATGAGTTTCAACCCCCTTTTTCCTTAAAGTTTGCCATTAAATCTCCAACTGCGATGCTGGTAATCCCGGATGTACCCTAATATAGCTGACCTCCAAACTGGCAGCATTAAGAACATCTAAGAGGCAAGGAGGAAATAAAAACGTGAGTACAAAAGCCGTATTTAAAGAGCAGAGCTGGAGCTCGCGCGCATCTTGGCTCGTGAGCTCTTGATCATCCCAGCCATGAGGACACGTTCACAAAAACCCGCGGCGCCTGAGACAGAAAAAAATAGGACACCGTATAAGGGATTATGTGCGAGTGCGCGTGCATGTGCATGTGTGCGTGCATACAGTACACTTGGCGTGGCTTCTTAGGCACAGCCCATAGTCACTGATCTCCCTCGAGGTCCAATCTGTCTTGGATGTAATTTCATTAAAATACTCCCATTTATAATCTGCACCACAGGCATTTCCACACTCAGAAAGAAAGGTACGGGAGTGATATACTGCTAACAAGTTGCGGTTGCGCACTTTAAAAGTTGAATTTCCAACTACGGGCGGGGCAAGCGACTGACTGAGTCGCTGAAATTTCCGTAACATCTTGTGAAGAAATACTTAATGACAAAAGCATTTTACTCCAGACCCAATATGAAAGTCCTGTTCCACAAGAGGAGGAATGTCATGCTTGATTTGTTTTGTTCAAATACCAGCCAATTGTGGAGGCAAAACTGAAATATTCATTGATAATATTGTTTAATTATCATTAACTATACTAAATCAATGGCTACTTTTCGGTTCAAATTCAACTCGAATTAAGATGCAAAAGCACAAATGTTGCTGGTACACAACATGGATAAAAGTATTGTGACACACCTCTCGGCAACCCGTTTCACGATTGCAAACTCGCGAACCGAGTAACTACAGTGGTACCTCCACTGACGAACGTCTCTTCGTACGAAATTTTCAAGTTACGAAACGCCTCAACAGTAAAATATTGCCTCTTGCGCCGAAAGAAATTTCGAGATACGAAAGGTTAAAATACAGTATGGGCTAACGCAACATACTTAGAGCTGCTCTGCCATTCGTTATTACCAAGCATCTTCCTGGCATCCCATTGGCTAAGGGGGACCTCTACCGTTATGTGTCTGTGTGTGTAGATAGATAAATAGATAGATATGTGTGTATGCAGCGTTGTCGTTATTCGCCCCTCGGGCCATGAGATAGTTTTACAGAAATGTGAATCACCCAGAAAAAGTGTTCACTAGTCGGCTCGGGCAATTGCTCACGATGCTGATGTTTGCCTTGCACATTTTCGAAGGATTGTTAAAAGCCGACAAAAGCAAACGTCCTAGGATCTGTTCTTTACGAAACGCCAGGCAAAAACCAGTTCTGAGAGAGAACATGAACTAAAGCGGGCAATAAAACGATGAGGATGCAGTTAAAAGTTAAGTGACCATCATTTTAATTCTTTACTCTATTCTTTGTTTTTTAGATCGTGCAAAACTCTCATTTATTTTGCAATAATCTAATTGTAACACATATTTGTTACATATTTTTATGCTTCAGAAAACATTTATGTCTGAATTTGGGGGGTGGCGGGGGTGGAACGGATTCAGGCATTCACATGGAAAATGCGTCTCTTCTTACAAAATTTTCTAGTTATGAAATTTCTTCCAGAACCAATTAATTTCGTAAGTAGAGGTACCACTGTATTCATTTTTGCTTTTAACTCTCCACTATTACTGGAGTGTTTTTGTTTTGTTTTTTTAAATCAGTGATACTGTCAAGATTTTTTTTAAATGGATCTCTTCAAACACCTATTTCTTTTTAAAGATGAAAGGACCTGACATAATATGATTATCGTGGTCCTATAAATGAAAGAAAATCAGTTTTAAAGGCTGCTTGTGTGCTAAACAAGCTGCTTATTAAAAAAAAAAACCCTCACAGGTCATAAAGTACAAGCGAGCAGTTATGGGAGAGTGTGATGCATATTTTACAAGTGCTGTTGGAAAGAGACCTTGGAGGAAACGCTGCCTTTAAAATGAATGTTGCTGTCGAGTTGTGTAAATCAATTAAGTCAATTATACTAGCAGATGTAGCAGCTTTACCCGAGGTCTATTGTTCGCACAGCTCAAGGTTCCAGATGCGGTGCTCCACACGTGGCACATTGACACCCCGCCATCAAATTGTGATCCAAGACAAAGCACAGCGGGTATGGATTTCATCCAATTTTTTCTGATATCCCGTCGCTTCTGCCTCAGGTCCCCCCTTTTGGCATCGTTGGCTCCCATTGCTTGCCATGTGCCTTTCGCATACTAATGTGGCGGCTTTGAAGCAGCCCGCCAACGAAGACCAACCTCTGACACAACGCATACAACGTGGGCCAGTGCTGTCCTGTAGGTGTGGAAAAACAGCCCTGGGAATTCACCGTTGAGCTAAGACGGCTATAAATGTAATGCACTCATGTAGTCACACGACCAGATGGCGGAAGACACGAGGGACGGCAGAAGAAAGCTGATGAGCAAGTTGTGAATTATTCTGCTGCCGTGCTTTTGGAACGAGAAACAGTAGGGCACAGCGGCATGAATCCAACAATAATTAGCGTTGTTTAGTTAGTGAAGAAAAAAAAAAAAAAAAAACGAATACAAAGAACAACTACGATTGACAATCCTTGACGTGAATTCAGAGATGAGCTATGGACCCACAACGGGATTGGTTTTCCCAAAGGCATTACATTAGAGTGCAATACAGGTGCAGGCTGCAAATAACATTAGAGGAGCAGACCCCATTTTTTACAAAATGAATGAAGAATGAGCTATATTTTCATGCATCGCAGGCTAGACCGAAAACACTGCATCTTGTTTAAAGGCAAAGATTTTTTTTTTTTTTGTATTTAGCTCACGGCTCTCTCCTGCAGCTGTGAAGTGTAATTTACTTTTAAGCCATCGAGGTAAATAGAAACAATAGCAGTAAAAGAGCAGTGGTTAACCAGCAAAGACATTGCCAGAAGTTAAAGCAAAGTCAATGAAGGTTGATGTAAAACACCAACAAACTGTAAACATCAACAATATGTCTTAACACTGAGATGATGGACAACACACCCAGAACATAATTTGAACATAAAATATGTTCTAAAAACGCTGTAGATGGAAAAAAAACACATTTTAAAAAATTTATTATATTTTTAAACAAAATACTGAAATGCAAAAAAATGCTTCACGAAAGCTTTCTTCGTGGGCTATTTTCAGCTGATATGCTGCCTTTCACATTGCTGCAGTTACATTTTGAGATCTTTGGTTTTCTCAACAACAATCACTGGGCTGGAGTTCCTTCATTTTTTTCATTTGGCTTTTGCATTTGACTGTGAAAAAGCTGAGAGGCTCCACTTTCCCTGCCTTTATGTGAGTATTTCTCTCAACTAATTTCTCCAAGGAATCAAGATTTAATCTTTGGAAGACCACACTTTCTTGAGTGATATCGACCACTTACCTCTGGACTGTGCGAGAGAGTCTAAAACAATTAAAAGATAACGCATCAGTAACTCTTTGGAATAGGAAGGACATTTATGCAAATGCCCTTTGTGCAGGGCCCTTTTCAGAAACGTTGAAACTTTAAGTGCAACAATGTGAACATATTTTTCTGTGGCTATCCAGTGATATTGTGCAATCAAAAATAAAGCGTGGCTGTGTAGACAAACGTAAAGCTTGGCAACCTGAGTACCTAATGACCAAAGATGACCTCAGCAAAACGTTCAAATGACCCAACACTGTGTGCTTGTGCAGTTGAAACCGGTCAGAGCGGCCATTAAAATAATAGTGCCTCATCCATAACTGATACAGACTTTGATTGGGGAGAATAAACAACGTAACAAAGCCTTCACCTTGTCTGCGTCCACTTTGCCTCTGGTAAATTCCGACCTCCAGAACTGCAGCGCCTGTTCCAGGGAGAGGCCGATGCCCTTGAGGAAGAGACCGTACTGCATGCGGCCGCCGTGCCGGAGATGATGGTTCTCTCTTAAGGACTGATGGAGCTGCCTCATGCACAGAGGGAAGGATTTGCCTGACAACTGGAGATGGACAAGAAGAACTGGTTGCCAGCATCATTTTGACAACACGAGCAAACCGAGATTCCAAGGAACTTACTGAATCGATTTGTTCCAAGGAGATTTTACCAACATTCTTCTGGATGCTGTAGTCCTGTCCCAAATAGGAGTGGCTAATAAAAGAAAAACAATGTTTATATATGTTATATGTGTAGCGTCTTCATACTGTAACATTTAAGCCTTTCAGAAAAATATGATGTCTGTTTCGTTACTTTTTTATTTATTAATTTTTTTGCATGTTATGTTTTGTTTTTTGGTATGAAATCTAAATGTGTGTGGCCCCGGGTCACTGTTAATGTAGACCCCTATTTCAAGAACAATTTGAATGGCTTGATTTAGCACACAGACTGATAGAAAGGATATCCTTTATGAAGTGGTCTGGAGATATACTAAGTTCAACATGCTGTGAACTGCATGAGTTGCCACACTGACCTCGCTGGAAACGTCAAAAAGGACTCCAATTGTAAAAGGCAGTGAATGTTATCGCTAGATTTTGGCTCACTCAAGTGGCAGCGCTTTTCATGATATTGTGCACCGCCACCACAGATTTGGGGACCGCCCACTAATCGCAACAAGCTGTCCACTAATTCTCATCACTGTGAGCCAACGTGGCTAATGTGCTTCCCCTTTCTCCCAAAAACGACACCCTCGCTATTCTCTGAGCTGCCTACTTTGGGATTAATTTTCCAATGGTGTTCACCTTTCCAGTGGGTGTTTTTTTTTTTAATTTATCAGTATGTACAGACAAATGCTCCTTAGTATGTTCGACTGATAAATCAAACCAATTATCAAATGAACAATTGGACTGCTTGTTAATGAATTTAATCAACTGCAAGGGAGGACTTAATAAAGATTACACAATTGCTTTGAGAAAAATGAAGGGACACAGTCATACTGTGTTTGTTTATACTGTGCGATTTATGGAACTTTTGTTATGTTGATCATGCACATAGTGAACTGGGCTCTCTGTTTGTGTGCGTGCGTGTGTGTGTGTGTGTAAAATATTTGGACCACAAATGCCATTTGGTGCCAAAAGTCTATTCCGTAAGTAGGTCTTCATGGGAGAAACAAAGCAGCTAAAAGTTATGATTCCCGTCACTTACCTGAGGTGGGTAAGGAGCGGCTGGAGCCGTTCATCAGAATGCACCGCCGGTAGCGAACGCGCCGTCAACTGCGGGAGGGATTGGCATTGTTTGAGTAATGGTAAACAGGGTGGGTCGAAGGATGAGAAGAGCCGAACATGGCAGGTTGAGGGTAAAAATTAAGTACCGTGGAGAGAATTAATCAGAACACAACAGAATGGATTTGCTGTGTGGCTGATTTTTTTTTTTCCACTTTAACAAAATGTCCAAAACAATCTCGATTTCACTGTGCTCGGCTTTTAATTAATTGGCATCCTCACCCCCTAAATTTGCCTAGAAACACCTTTCGATTTATGGATTGTTTTCCTTGTAAACAGTTACAATTTAATGAATGTGTCTTCTCATCAACTGCAGTGTAGCTTTGCACAGTCAGTCTTACACAGCTACGTAATGCTTCTTATACCACAAAATCCACTTCATAATTTGTTGCTCTAAATTGGGAATTTCTCCATTGTGAGAAAAATAAAGGTTTTCTTATCTTATCTTAAAAACCAGGTTGTAACCAACAGCAGGCATCACATGGGACAATCATCCTTTTACGTGAGGTACGTTAAAACAGCCACCTTGTGTCCCAAGTGGATGACATGAGCCGTTTATACTTAATAGTGCACTTACATTGGTTTCTCATTTGTTTTCCAATTTGAAAAAGACGGCGGCCAGTCCCTTGACAAACATGCGCGGCCCAGTTTAACAAACAACAGTGACTGGATGCGCCCTGTAATGTTTAGTCTTCACTGGGGACAAACCAGGGTTGATTCGCCATTCAACACTTTGTTATGGTCCTGAATTGTGAAAATACGGTGTTAAACAGTTTTTTGCCCCCCACTCCTCCATTATATGAGAACTTTTTACTATTAGAACAAATTACTATTCTGCTGCAGACGGAGGGGAACGTCGAGGTTTATTCTCAGGGATTGTCAGACAAAGTGACATCTCTTTTTCAGGTCGTAGTCAAGCAATTTGATCGACGGTTGACGATTGAGCCGGCCGGGCATGATTCAGCGTATTGAGCGGACATACCATTTGAGAGCCAAGGCAAGCCGAGCTTCTTTTTTCACTATTTACACAATCTAATGTCATAATATGAAGGGGAAGTATTCATTCTATAAACCACACTGAAGCTTAAAAGTTGAAAACACATCCTTTCTGATCATAAAGTCTTTCCAGCAGAATAACTAAACCCCCGGCTAGGTACCTATATATCTATTCAGAACAATGAAGCAGTGTTGCTTTTGTTTGCCCCCTAGTTGCAAACTCTCCTCACTACACAACTGGACCTGAGTTGTCCCATCACATACAGCATTTTGAAGTAAATGCCTGCGGCTCTCCACAAATATCATATTGCACTATGTTGCATGAGCCCGAGGGCGTTCAATGCAGTGCATATCAACATTGGACCTTTCACGCCCCGAGTGTGTGCGTGCGTGTGCGTGCTGGGGGGAGTATGCACCATCTACCCTGCAAACATCTTGTGTCATATGTGCACACGTCCTTCCCTCACTTGAACCCTGTATTTCTTCACCAACACTCATGGCACTGAGGCAAACAAGCAGAGATGCAGAACAACCCATACAAGCACAGCAATTGTAAACACAAAACAGTCAGTGGGAATAGGGCCAGATACAGGTGGACAATAATAGACAATAACGCAAGGGTACACTGTGATGCCCTGCAAGCTGTTGATAATCTGTGGCAGGCTTGTTGACATTGTCAATGATGTCTGTTAACATCAGCCTATACAGTGTGGAAGCAAGTGCCGCTTGTTAATAAATCTTGTCGCCTGTTCTGTCTCCACTTCATAAAAACCGACATGGCCCCTGAGAGAGAGAGAGAGATATATATATATATGCCCTGCGATTGGCTGGCAACCGGTTCAGGGTGTCCCCCGCCTGCTGCCCGAAGACGGCTGGGATAGGCTCCAGCACCCCCCGCGACCCTAGTGAGGATCAGGCGGTTCGGAAAATGAATGAATGTGTGTGTGTGGGCAGCCCGGTGTTCCAGTGGTTAGCGCGTCGACCTCACATTGTGGAGGTCTTGGGTTTGGTCCCCGCTCCAGCCTCCCTGTGTGGAGTTTGCATGTTCTCCCCAGGCCTGCGTGGGTTTTCTCCAGGTACTTCGGTTTCCTCCCACATTCCAAAAATATGCATGGCAGCCTGATTGAACACTCTAAATTGTTCTTAGGTGTGGGTGTGAGCGTGGATGGTTGTTCATCTCTGTGTGCCCTGCGATTGGCTGGCAACGGGTTCCGGGTGTCACCCGCCTACTGCCCGAAGACGGCTAGGATTGGCTCCAGCACCCCCGCGATCCTTGTCAAGATGCCACGTTTTTTTGCTGATTGCTCCTGTTAAATCAGGCCGACATTCACGCCGGCCACACACACACACACACACACACACACACACACACACACACACACACACACACACACACACACACACACACACCTGCCATGTACCAGTAACACTATTTTTGCCAACCAACAACGCCAAACTATTTCATTCGTTGAATGATTACATAATTGTGACTGGACAGCTTTCGAGTCTGACAACCCTCATCAGGGCGGTCGCTTTGGAATGTGAATCTCCACGTTGTGTCGTCCCTAGGGAAAGAGCGGCAAGCCGAAAACTGTCACCTGGGTTTAATGGTGTTTTGCGAGATGTGTTGAAAGTTATGAACCACACCAAAGCACTGTGCTTAAATCACTACTGTTTGAGGAGATCTGGGAAGAGATGGATGCTGAACATAAGACACCTTTGCTTGTACACAGAGTCAGACAGCTTTCACGAGACGCATCACTGGCTACGTTTTACGTTTACGAGATTCCCTGCAGGGATTTCTTCAAGTAAAACAGTTGCCACAGGCACAGGCAGAGATTTTGAGCAACACTAATTGGTTCTTGAAACTTGCTCAATTTCTCACTTCAAAGGAAAATGACAGCAGTTTGCAAGTTGAGAGACAAGATTGCCACTTTCAAAGCCAAACTGGAATTATGGAGGTGGAGGGTGAACACATGGATGTTTTACAGGGATTATGAAAGAGATTAAAGTTTCATGTTCATTCTCCCAGCATGCATAACCAACTATCACAGCTTTCAAAAGATTTTGAGTTTTACTTCTCAATCACAAAAGAAATGGATCTGGAACCCATGCGTGAACAAGACAGGGGAATCAACCCTATCACTGCTTGAAGTGCAACAATTGCTTAAAGGGAGAGTTCACAATTGTCAATTATTTGTGTTTATATTTGTTAAAAGTGCCAGTACGACCTGAGAGTAGTACAACAGCAAATGAGTAAATTGGTCCTCTGTCGTCTCATCTTGTGCCTCTGATTTGATTGATGAAACCACAGCGGGCAAAGGAAAATAACCAATTGGAGACAGAATACGTGACTGGAGTGGTGTCAATCAGTTCTCATGCACTCGCAGGCACACTCATCAGTGGCCGTGAGCAAGCAGACCAATGCGGCGTCGCGTTGTCTTGCTAATTTGGGTTTCAACAAGAGCTAAAAAGTAGGAAGTGGACAGATTCAGAGACAAAACAAGAGTGAACCGGGGAGTTGTTGAACACCCCTGCACTTCTATCTCTTGTTTGTGGAAAATGTTTCTACATGAAACTGGTCTCTTGTAGAGAAAAGGTTTGGGACCGCTGATCTACAGCATAGGAGAACATCAAAGCTGATGCCTTTCCCCAACACCAGGGAGCTTAAGACACTTACCGCGAGAGCTTTCGACAACCTTGTGCGAAAATCGTTGAGCACAATGGTGACAACGTCCTGGTGAGGGATGTACACATAGCCCGCTTTGAGGTAGACTTTCCTTGTTCGTACTAGATCCAAAGCATCTTGGAAAGGAACCTTGACAACAAAAAATAGAGCAACTGTGTTTTAAAACATTATTCTTATTTTAAAGACTCGATTTATCTCAACATGTGAACATAGGTGTCAAAGCAATAATCCCTTTGTAGCATTCACAGCTTAAAATTGTGTTTGTACCCAAGGATTTACTCAGAGTCAGGAAACATTTCATACTCAAATAAACACTACTACTACTGCTTCAAAAATAAAAATGCAGGCAAGACTTAATTATTTATAAATAAAAACAAACATACTTATTATTTTTCTTTTTTTTTAATGAATGAATGAAAAAATAAAAACAAACATACTTATTATTTTTCTTTTTTTAATGAATGAATGAATAAATAAAAACAAACATACTTATTATTTTTTATCGAAATTTCTTCTTATTCATTTCACTATCATGCCTCTGACTAAAGTTAAGGAAGCTGAACAAAATGCAGAGCTAAATCTAATTTATTGCCCTGAAGTAACATCAAAAAAGGTTTGACAAGTTATACAGAACTCTGAAAAAACAAACAAACCAACAACTAGGATCTCTTGAGGTCAGGAGTGCTACAACATCCAAGAGTGAGTGAGTTGAGGAACTCACTTTGTAGAAATCTTGATCCTCCACAGTGATTCCACTAACGCCGTAGCTGGAGTCGATGAGTTTATCTTGCAGCACTTGCTTCTCTTCAATAGAAATCTGAAATAAATGTAGTCGGTGAATACCACTTTAAAGTACAGTATATTAGATGTCTCGTGTCATTTGCATGTTGTTTCCATGCAGTTTTCTGCAGGTTCTCCGGCATTGGTTTCAGACTAAATTGCCCATAGGAGTGGATGCGAGAGCTCATGGTTGTTTGCCTGAATGTGCCTTGCGATTGGCTGATGACCAAACCAGGTTGTCGTGAGCTGCATTAGCCTCCAGTTCACCCGAGATCCTGAATAGCATAAGCGGTACAAAATTGGATGGAGTTCAAATAGACAAGTTGTGAGGTCCAAAAAGATGAATTCAAAAGCATAAGTATGACTTGCACCAATAAGCATGCTTGGAATTGTTAAATAATGTTTAAATCATTGGATTTCCAGTCTTCAGCTCCATGTTACTGAAAACCTGACGCATATTGCTCTTATTATGAGCTTGAAAATGCTCTTCCTAAATATTGAATGTATTTTATAAGCACCCATGAATAAATGTTGATACATTACCATGCACGAATAGTTCATCATAGCTAATTATGTCTAACAAAAGAAATGCAACAAAGTCCTTGGAAATCAGTTGTGTCCTATGGTAGTCTTACAGCGCCCTCTAGTAAAAAACGGGTAGAAGCTCAGTTTTGGGTGATCTGCTGCTGCTTTTGTTTTTCCTATTTTAAAAATTATTAACCCTAAAGGGAAATACCATTTTCACTGCATATTTAAAGGGTAAGTCCATCCATCCATGTTCTAATCCGCTTATCCTCACAAGTGTTGCGGGTGTGCTGGAGCCTATCCTAGCTGTCTTCGGGCAGTTGGCGGGGTACACCCTGACCTGGTTGCCAGCCAATCGCAGGGCACACTGAGACGAACAACCATTCACGCTCACAATCACATCTAGGGACAATCTGGAGTGTTCCATTAACCTGCCGTGCATGTTTTTGGAATATGGGAGGAAACCGGAGTACCCAGAGAAAACCTATGCAGGCACGGGGAGGACATGCAAACTCCACACATGAAGGCCGAAGCCGTAATCGAACCCAGCACCTCTGCACTGTGAGGCGGATGTGCTAACTAGTCGACCTAAATATGTTCAATGGATGTATTAGTTTAAACACGGCATTCTGATTAAGATTTGGTTTGTGGAATAAATTCAGCAGCAAAATCCACCCAAACTGTATTTATGAATGACAATAAGCAACATGATGTGTAGTACAAACAATAATTACAATATTATAAATGGTTAGCGAAAACAAATGAATAAATCATACCGCATCATATTCCAGATTATTTTTGTGAAGAAACTCCAGCTTCAGTTTGGGATGTAGGTCATTAAAGCGGTAGCGCAATAGATCCACTTCCTGCTGTATGAACCACCTTCGGAGATCCTCCCTGCAAAACATCCCGTGTGAATATGAACTTTGATTGCCGTTTAATTGAGAGACATCGTGCACTTGGAAACATCAATTACGTCTGACAATAGGCGAGTCTCAAAATGAAGTGGGAGATGTGGTCCTTTCTTCGTTTCTCATATTCACTTGGCCCACACTGAGGTTTTCTGTCATCCTGTTGTAAAAACATAGCAATCATGATTGGCTCATAACCATTTTATGATTTGGGTTATTGATGTTGATTAACACAACTATCAAAAGTCCTACTCACAGCGTCTACTCTGTAAGGAAAATTCAAGTTTTTAAACTCAAAATCCAACTTCTTGATGTACTGCTCAGACAATTTCACATAGCTCACGCCCAAATTCTCAACGGTCTTCAACACTACAGGGACATCAAAAGATGAGAGACACACATCATCATGATTTGATGGCAGATGAGAAGTAAAATGCAAATTTCAATGTCTTTGCCGTGTGTTTACATTTCAATCTCTCCACCGCGAATGTTTCAAATTCTGCGAGAGAGATGTTCTCGAGTGGTGGTTGTCCATAAAACTGCAGAGGAAGTCCATAGAGCTCCATCTGAGGAGTCGTGGCAAACTTCCTCCTTCTGCTGGAAAACTCCATGATGTCTACAAGCAAGTGAGGGAGGGTGCATGTTGAGATGTACCACAGGAGAACAGGCAAATATAACTTTATCCCAAAAGTACTGTAGCATCCCCATTAATATTTATTGCAAACACACATACTGGTCTTACTTTAGGAACATAACCAACTATTAAGGGGATGTCAAGCACCATTGTGCTAGCAACGAGTCTATCGTTTAGTGTTCATTTCATATACCGGGTTTAGCTTAACGTGGTATGAGGCAATATTAATATTACCCCTTAAAACCTACCGTGGGTTATGTTACAAACGCAACATAAACGTGAATACCGTTGGAATAGCATGCGCCCAACAACAGCTCGACTTAGAGGCGTTGTGCCATATACCAGTGAACTAGTTAACAAAATGATACTATTTAAATGTAGTTATTTACCGAGCAAGTAATGGAAGGGCTTGTGTCTGGACAAAGGCTTCTTCCTGGTTCAATCCCGCCAAATAGGGCTGAGTGTTTCAGTAACGCGGGGAATTGGTGACGAAATGCCCAAACCAGGAAGTGACAGGCAACGCCCCGCCCCGTCTTGATTTATGAGGGCTCGTTTTGTTGTTCTGCTTGTCCCGTTTCACATCGCTTCAGATGAAATACAAAACGTTTTTGTAGCGCTTAAACATTTTATTTCGTAACTGGTTTATCCGCCACAAATATTAAGTCTTAACACATTGAAAACAAAAAGAATAAAATGATGGAAGAATATTTCACGGACAGAGAATTAATTTTAATAATCTAAAATAATCTACACATAGTGGAAGCTGTCAACTGTACTTGGTGAGGCAAAATGAATACAAATGTGCTGTACAAATGTACATTCCTGTAAATCTTCATTGTCACATTTAATTCACTGATAATTAGTTATGTGTACTAGATATCTGTAACATATATTAGAATAGATACGTTTAGATACGTTTTTTCACTTTATAGAGCTTGTGGTAATTTACTTTTTTCGGAAATATTAACACGTCTTCTACAATAGAAAAGCCGTATATTGTTCCAGCAATTGTGAAATATTGTTTTTAATAATAATAATAATAATAATAATGATGATGATGAACACATACAGAGATAGGATGATCAGGGCAAACATAATAATAATAATAATAATAATAATATTAAAAAAACAAAAAAAACAATCGCTGAAAACAGGAACTCCCACATCCTTCTGCTCTTCCTGAATTTCAATACCATCATCCCACAGACCATGATGTAGAAGCTGAAAATTCTTGGGCTGAGTACATCACTGGAGAACTGGGTCGTGGATCACCCACAGCACTGGTTCCCCAGGGCGCATGTTTTGGAAGCAACACTACTACATAGTGGTTATCTGCTTGTTTACTAGAAATGTGCGCATTTGTTGTATTGTGTAAAACATTTTGCAGTTTGTATGTGAAGATAAGGAGCCAATGTGAGCCGTTGAAATGACCTATTTGTACATCTGTGACTTAAAACTACAACTGCTCCCATGAGCCTCTAAAGCTGACGTAATAGCACTCAGGCTCTGCTGCCTAGCAACAAACATTAGCGAGTTAGCAACGCAACCTAGCCACGCTCGTGCCCTACGTAGCTAGCTCACCACAGCCAGGGCTTGCGGGTGGGTGGTGATGAAGAATTATCATCCACTCAAATGGCACTAATATTAATCTTACATCGACGCTGACCTGGCTGCATTTACTGTTTGGAAGATTCGTTTATTGTGCATTTAGTAGTCATTCGCAACACTATTAGGAGGGGCGTAGTTTTTTTTTCTTTTTCTCTGCTGAAAAGGACCTCGGCGGCCAAATCATTTTGGCGTAAAGAGTCACTTTCTCCTCAAGACAGTTCATCTGATGTTGTTCAACACACGAACGTTATTCCAGGTAAGCAGTTCGTGTTATTCTGCTTAGGTTTGCTTGACTTGTCAGCCCGTTGGCCAGCAGGACCACGCCAGCAGCTGCTGGCCACTTTAGAGGAGCTCCTTTTAGAATGGAAGAGGTGAAGCCACAGGCGTGTGAGCGCACAACGACAGCCAAGAACCGAGTGTGGACGCAGCTCAGGTCCATTTAACGATTTAATCCTGTCGGGTTTGGCATTATAATGGTACGTGATAAATGATTGTGTTCAGAGGTGTGGTGGTGAAGCTGAACAGATGCCATATTCTATCTACCAATTGCCCATGGTATTTTATATAGCATTGTCAAAATCATCATCTGAGGAAATATTCATGGCAGTCATTTTTAAAGAGTTTTTTTAGAAACTACTACTGTTTTTATACTGTATCTCACTCACTGGTCACGGCACTTACGAGTTCGATACAAAAGCTGTTATTGGAAAAAAAAACCGTGCCTTCGCAAAACTCATCATGTCTTGCAACGCATCATACTGCAAAACTAAACGATTGTTTCCAAACCATTATTAAGTCAATTAAGGCACGTTTTGCGTAATAAAATATCAAGTAATGTCCACTAGGTCTCGTGCATTCATGTCTAAACTACTGCCCGGGGGGCATTTGCGGCCCGCCCATTGGGATGTGGACAGTCTGAAGCAACTTGCGGATCTCTTCTGCGCATGCGTGAGAATCGAAGTGAAATAAAAGAGAGGCGACCAAACAAGCGATTTTGTAAGACGAGTACATCGGTCCATGTCTAATTGTATGCCTTCAAGCTTGCGGGCATTGTTTAAAAAGCTTTAAGCCTCATGCGACACAACAGCAGGTGCACTTTGTACCATGTTTTAAGGTTCTAATGGAAGTAAAAGGCTTGAATCTTTTAAAAAAACACAATTACAAAAGCATGGTAAACCGCCGTTTATTCACGTTCACATTTATTTTGTCAATATCTTGAAACCAAGAGGTAACACACCGAGATGAGTACGGTAAGCAAGCTACCTGACTGCGAAAAAAACGAATGAGAGACACGACAGACATAAATAAAATTTCTGGTTACTGTAACTTATTAAATCGAGTAACATTTCCACATTCAGTATAATTGTGGCAAGTCACATTGGCAATTGATTTGTTGTATCTGACGCTGCCCCACTCAACTCTCGTCATGTGAGCAAAATAACAGATTTATTCAATTTATGTGTTTTGCTGGCTGTGCTGGACTGAGAAAATTACCACAAATGTCCAACCTGTGTCATCCTCATGTCCCCATCGCTGCACACATTGAGCAAAACCTCGGTAAAAACGTAATTAATTTTAACTGTAGTTTCCCAGCTGAGGACGGTCCGTGTAAGGACTATTAAACAGCACTAGATTACTTACATTAAGAAAAACTTTCCAGCGATTGAAATGGTCCAAATCTCAGCAGTTCAGCACCACTGCACATTACACCTTCATTTTTCTTCTTGAAAGTGCAATTCTGACAGGCTGTTGGGACCCCCTGACCATGCTGTCAGTTTCTACTGGGAACGCCTTTCCCAATATGTTGTTTAGAGTAACACCAAACACCCGCACGCCTGTCACAGACCAAGTTGCCATGCTGAGTCTGCAGCCCGCAGTGTTGATGGCAGAATAAACACTTCAGACAGCTTCTACAAACAAGCCCACTGTAAAATTTAAAGCCATTGAAAGCAGGCTCACATTGGACACCCTCTAAACTCTGTTATATTTTATGCTTTCAGGGGTTTTATGTGTATGTGTCACATTGGTGAATAAGTGCTCCATCGACGTCAAAGTGACACGAGCAGCTGCGACGGCGCAACCATGCTGGAGGAGGACATGGAAGTGGCCATCAAGGTGGTCGTGGTGGGCAACGGTGCCGTGGGAAAGTCCAGCATGATCCAGCGCTACTGCAAGGGTGTCTTCACCAAGGACTATAAAAAGACCATTGGAGTGGACTTCCTCGAAAGGCAGATCACGTGGGTGACAAGAGACCCTGATATACGCTGCTGTCATGGTGACTCATTTCATTCTCTGTCCCGCTGGTTTTAGTGTTAACGACGAAGATGTTCGCCTTATGTTGTGGGATACCGCTGGGCAGGAGGAGTTTGACGCCATCACTAAGGCGTACTATCGCGGTAAGAAACCACAGTTCAGAGCAGGTTATTCAAGACATGCTTCAAAGCAAAACTAGAAATGGTGTTGCCATACTGACGTACATTCACTGGCCACAACGTTAGGCAAATTTGCTTGAATGAGCTCTGTCATAAACTCTCGATTTACAAAAATAATGCCCTTGATGGTATTCAGGTCAAACAATGTTAATTCTGATGGTAGTTTGCAGTAGGGCTGGGGGATTATGGAAAAAAATAATAATCAGGATAATTTTGATTGATATTGAAATCACTATGAATAAAAATTATGAATCATTAAAATGCATGGAGTGCACCCTTAGAATGAAATTAGAAGAGTAGAAGAAGAAAGTTGCAATTCAGCTCTATTAAATGATATGACTTATTTTTCATAGATTGGGAAGAACATGTGCCTTTGAGCATTCTTATATTACCTTTATGTGTGTGCGAATATTCGTTAGTTAAAGAAATATCACTCCTGGAGCTTATCTTTTTTTAATTTTAATTTTTAGATTGGACAGAGTTCCCTAATGAAGTGACCGTTGGGTGTTAAATTTAGTCCGCAAAGAGAATCTCCTGTGACAGTGTTCCGACAATATTCAGGTGTTGGGATTAAATTATGTATGGCACTTGGCGATGTGTTTAACTTTACAGGCGCCCAAGCGTGCGTGCTGGTGTTCTCTACCACAGACAGAAATTCTTATATGGCTATTGACAATTGGAAGGAAAAGATTGAAGCAGAGGTGGGAGATATTCCCACAGTCCTTGTGCAGAATAAAATTGACCTCCTGGAAGAAACTGTTATCAAAAAGTAAGTTGTTTCTCATGTTCGTCAGCAGTAACGCACGTGCATTTGAACATTAGATAATGTTCGGTTGAATTCTTAATTCAGTGTATTCCTTATTTGTGTTGCAGTGAGGAAGCCGAGGGCTTGGCCAAGAGGCTTAAATTGAGATTTTACCGAGCTTCAGTAAAAGAAGATTTAAATGTCACAGAGGGTAAGTTATTGAAAAAAAGTGATCTAATGTGGTATTAATTGTCCAAAAGGTCTAACCATGTTGACTTTGAAATTAACACGTTGGGCACATTGAAAAGACATAATCATGCACAATCTAGTCAGATACAGTACAAGGGCCGTATCCCAAAACTGTGTGCTGTGCAGAAATAATAGTGCTCAGTTCAGACTGACACTCTCAGGAAAGTATGAATTTAACAATCCTTTTTATTGTGCTTGTGGTTGGAATGGTGTCGAACGCTGCTGCATCATAATGAGCAGTTTGTCATATAATTTCGCCTTGGTTTCGGGCTCCTGCTACAGTTGTGAGGGGTAACTTTCAAAGCCCTTGGGTAAATACATGTTGTCAGTAGTGCGTTCTGACAAACGCGTGATGAGAAGGTCGGATCAGAAAGACAAGCCAAATTCCATCTTTTAATGCAGTAGAATGCTCATAATGGAACACACTGTGTGATACTTTTTACATTAAATATATTGCAATGTCAGGAGTGATTTATTTATTCCAGCCTCAAATTGTCACCATCATAAACGTTCTATTAATTGTAAGGGCAATGTTGCAAGTACCTGTATTTGGTTTAACATTCGTAACTGTTTTGCAAGTACAATGTAAAAACATGTCAAATAATATTATTATTATTAACATGTTGTGCTTAAATAAGTAGGCTAACTCTGTTTTTTGTTTGCATTGACAATTTGGTTTGCAGTGTTTAAATACTTAGCTGAGAAATATCTTCAACAACTCAAACAGCAAACAGCAGAGGAGACTGAGGCGGTACACTCAACAAGCAATAAAATAGGTAAGAAGCTTTACTATGAGGGTGTGTGTGCTTTTTATTTTATTTTATTTTTTTTGCTTCCGTACATGAGGTCATTCACATGCTGTTTTTCCACGCAGGAGTTTTTAATACCACAAGTAGTAATGTGAGCAACCAGAGCTCCAGCAACGGCAGAGAAGTCATCACACTGCGACCAAACAAACAAAGGACCAAGAAGAGTAAAAAAACATTCGGCAGCTGCAGCCTCCTCTAGACAAACAGCGTTTTTGTTTGTTTGTTTGTTTGTTTGTTTGTTTTTTTTGTGCTGACCAGTCACAGAAACCAAAGTGCAAAGACTGGGAGTCACTCCGTTATACCAACAATCTCATGTTTAATTTCCATATTAAATGTTTCCGCCCAAATTGATGGATGAATTTCATCTGTGAAATCTTGCACAATGTTTTGTTTTTTTTTGGTGCAGAACAACGATCATCATTCTATTTTCACACGATGCAGATCTCATTGTGGGCCAAAAAGGATATCCACTTGTCCAGACTTTTGAGATTCATGCGAAAGATTTGACAGATTGATTTCGTAATTTTCACCAGGAGGTAGATAAGCCATTTACTTGATACGAGATGCCTGGTGTGATACATGATTGTCTGCTGTAATTTCAAGGAACGTTTTCCCAATGACATCATACAATGCCCTCAATAGAATAATTTCCAAATAGTCCTATTTTCACAGCGCTTGCTCCTACGGATTTCAGCTGCACATCTTTGTATGAATTACAGAGGACAAGCTGAGTGTTGTATCCCTCTCACTAGCTTACGGTTTAGTTTATCTGTAATAAATTCAGCGGCTGGTTAAATGTATTTTTATACCAATCATAAAAGTGTTGAGTGATATCTTGAAGTGTTAACGGCTTCCTGGTGCCAATTATTCTTAACGCAGCAGAGGTTTGAATGTAACCTTCAAATAATCTATTGTGCTAACGTATAACCAAAAATGAATATCATGTGTGTACTGTACTGTCCACTCATCAATTTGTTAACGAAATGTGATCTTTTTGGAATTTAACAGGAGGCAGACACCCTTGAGTTCCTTAAATCCCACCCAGCTGTAGGGTGTGGTTGTTTTGAAATTGCTGGTATTTACGTCATCTTTACTTTGGTAGGATTTGAAGTCACTCATTACATTGTGAATCATCACTGTTGTCCATCTTACTAAGCAGACATCAAGGACATCATTTCAAGGTTTTATGGAATATAGTATATTGTTTGGGTGTTGAACATCAAGATGCACAGTTAAAAATTGAGGGGAAAAAAATCAAATCAGGACTGTAAGTTTGCTTTTAATATGCTCGGGTGTGCTCGAATATTCAACAAAATTCATATCATTGGCGATTAAAAATGTTTCATAATCTGCGCTAGGACATGTGAAACTTGATTTTTTTTTTAATCCCTCGCGCTGCTCTAAAAAGCACAAAGTAATACAAGCTGTTGTAAAAAAGTCTCCTGTTAAATATTGTCATGTGAAATCATCTCTCAACTTCTTTCTTAATTGTATTTAGGTGAATATATCATTCATTGGCAAATTACACATGCATGTGTATTGTTTTTGTTCTTTTGGCACTGATTCTCGCATGTATGGTGGTGTCCTAACATTCAAATATTTGTACTGGTGTACATTTTGGACACTGTTTTTGAAAGCAAAGAAAAATGGTCAATGTACTTGTGTTGCATGCAAAAGCCCTTGTGACGGATCAGTGAATGTTCCATTTTGGTTGCAAAGCCACAATGCCTTAACCATGTTTACATCATATTGTCCATTGACCTCAAGGAAGCATTTTTTCAGTCCCCTCAAAATGGCCTGCCTGCACATCACATTTGTATTTAATCAATGCTTAAAAGTTTTCCTTTTTGTTTATTAATCGAATGGACGTCATGCACTTTATTATTAAAATGACAAAATTTGAGTAACTACGAACCGGGAATTAAAATTAATCACTTATGTGCTGTCACTCAGGTGTTGTATGAATTTCTGTTTGGTTTCTTTTTTTTTTTTTCCTTTGTTACATTTTCACATAAAAAAAAAAAAAACATGTTTGGTTTATGTCTGACAGAAATTTATCATTGTTGCTGTTTTAGTTCGAACAAATGTAACCTGAAATGTGCCGGATTGCTGTGATCCAGCTATCATGGTGTAGTAGGGAGAAGTGACATAAATGAATCTTTACTTTGTTCACAGGCTCGCTTTTTTTTAATGTCGATCATCAAAACTTAATCATGCATGATAAGGCATCTCTCATACTAACTACTCTTCATCCTGATGTTACAAATTTAGTCTCATATTACTAGTGTACAATGGCTTTTTTCCACACCTTTGTACTCTTCACTTTTTTTAATGTGCATATTTTTGCTAACATCAATAGAGATCTCAAATTGATTTGCAAAAGCTTATATCTGTAAATGTTGGCAATTGTTACCAATAGTGAGAGGTTACCTTTGACAGTTTTGTGTTGGATTTAAAAAAAAAAAAAATACTGGTGAAATCTTGCCACTGCCGATAAATGTTTTACTTCCTGAGAGTGTGAAGATCATGTGGAAATTATAACTGAAGAGACATGAGCTTTGATCCTAGGTGCCTTGGCCATCTTCCGTTATTGAAAATCTAACAGCCTTCTGATGTTGAGGAATGGCTCTGACAGAGCCCTGACAGTAATCATACAAATCAAATAATCCATAATTTTTGGGGGGAATAGTGTTCTTGTTGTGACATGGACAAGTAGCAGTACCTGATAGTTAAGTGACTGTAAGAAAATGGATATACTTGTAGAAAGTCTTTGGAAAGGAATTTTTCCTCAAGTTGTGGGCCTCTCTCGAATAAACACATTGCCCTTTATAACATTAAGGACTCTGCAGCTCATTCAGTTGCTCTGGAAGTACCGGTAGTCTCTAAAATTCAAATCAAACTGGTTGTGAATCTATATTTTTAAAATTCCCGTTTTGTAATTAAAATGTAATTTTATCTGCTCAATATGACAACACTTGTTCGTGTGACAGGCTGCCTTTGATTTGTTCAATTTTATTCACTTGTGCACACAAAAAGAGTTTCATGCAAACAAATCCTCATCTTAATGCGGCCTGTATCTCCTTCATGCATTGAGGTAGTGGAGGTAAAACTCAAGACTCTAATTAAGTATGTCAAACATTTCATTCTGGTGTGATGGTGGTTTTGGCCCTTGGGTACACAACATATGCATGTATCCCTTATCAGAGTTTGGTTAAGACAGTGAAGGACATTTTAGGTTTTGGTGACAATTCCTTATTGACTGCCATTAGCTTTTGGCTCCTCTAATTTCTGATGATCCATGATCTTTATATTTTTCTCAGCATTTCCAACGTTCCTCAGCAGCATCTCCAGCCTTCTCTTAATTTTCTTCTGGTCCTCCAGAGCGCAGCTGATCACGATAGATTGAAACTTCTGGTCGATGGGCACAGCCGGCGCCTCCGTCACGCAGGCCGAGTGCAGGGCGAGGAGCTGCTGCCTAGATTCAGCCATGTCGACCAGCAGCTTCTTCACAATTTCGTCAATGATGGACGTGGCCTTGCGCAGGGCCTCCTCTTGCTGGCTGTTCCTGATGGTGCCCACGTTGATCTCCACTGACAAGGTGCGGCCCATTAGTCGGTCTGCTGTCAAAGTCAACTCTTCTTTCTCTCCTGAAAAATAATAATGTAGATTTGACAGGAAAGGGTAGAATCATTGTCTTAGTCCCCATTATTTGTGTCATGACCAGAGCCTTGTTTTGAGAAATTCATGAGCAAATTTTATTCTTGGTGCCTGCAAGTTGCATGATTTTTTTTCCCTTGAGCAACACCCACACTGAGGTCCAGAATAACCTAATTTGTACACAATGTGAAAATGAACAAACACAAACTCACATCTGAAGGATAGAAATCAAAGTGTCCAAAAAGCGAAAGTCAGAGTGAGCTCACCGGCGCTGATGTTATGCATTTCTTGACTGTTCTGTAAGGATTGAATCATCTCCAGGATGCATTCCCTTTCCTGTTCTATGGCCGAGGCGGTTTCGCGAAGTGCCTCCACCCTGTGACGCGGACGAACACATTTGCAAAAAGATGAATCAGCACCACAGAAAGCGCATACTTTTACAAGTGAACAAGAATTAACATTCAGCAAATTGGCCGTTTTTACTTCAAAACGTGCTCACGCGTGTCCGAGGCACCGTCCGTAGCCCACTTGTTACCTTATCTCCAGCTGATCCAAATTCGACAAAAGTTGTCCCGCCCGGTCCGCCATGGACATAGTCCTCTTAAACTTGCCGCCTGTTACATCGTTGAGTTTAGCTTGTATTTTGGCCTGGGACATGGCGACGGGTGACCGAATGTGTAAAATAATCGGATCTTTTTTTTTTTTTCCAAATTGGTCTGTTCTGCAAGGAGCACTCCGAGTACGGTGGGATCCGTCCGACCAGCAAGTTGTTGTGTCCAGCTGACTGCCCGGGGTGAACATTGCCAAACATGGGCAGGGACTTCCTCCGCTTTACCTCGCCGAAGTTTCTCGAAGAGTTCCGAATAGACGATTACTAAACTCACTGAAAACAGTCTTATTGCAGTAGTTTATTTTGCAGTTATGTTTTTTACGACTGCTAATAATATCAATAAAAGATTACGAACGCCACCGCTATTAATAATAGATAATGAAATAGATACAATTGCACTAATAAATCAGGGATGGGCTATCAAGCAGAAGCACAGACGAACATTTCAAACCTCAATTCGCTCCATTAAATTGTATTCATTTTACTTAGTCTTTGCTCTTCATAGCATGTTTCTCTTGACTGTGCTGTTGCCAGTACATGTAAGTGGATGTTAGAATTTTTAATCACAGAAGAAAAATTGTGTTTGAGTGTGTAATGCATTATAGCATTAAAGAGAGGACAGGCACAGTAGAGGCCACGGACATCTGGGATCCTGACATCTGCTTAACTTGCTGAAGCTTCAAGAACTAATCCTAATAGACCGTTGATGTGAGGCGGCTGTAATTACACAACACTTTAAACTTGAATATGTTGGTGTCTCACACGCAATTACCAGCAGACATCCAATGGATCTCATTAGTTTCTTTTATTTCCATCCAATGACGATATTGAGCGGTTCCATTCACAGTGAGGCAATAGTTCATTGTTACTACTGCTTCTGGACGATGGCTGTAAAGAGGAATCACTCCATGGGATGCAGGTTTTCTTGAGGGTGCGTGAAATGCATTGGATTTTGAAAGCTGCAATGCAAACAAGTGTGAAACAGAGTGTGTCTATGTACGTTGTCTTTGGTTGTCATTAACAGTAGTGTGTGTTAACGCCTTCAAAAGGCACAAACAAAAAAAGCCTTTTCCAATCAGGAGTGACTGTGATGCACTGTATTGTTTCTAGGGTATTAAAGGAACCCATAAGAGCACGGAATGTCATTGATTTGACATACATATCAGCAAAATAACTCATGTGCAAAAAGCTTCTCCTCAGAAGTCCAGAAGGCTTCTTTGAAGAGCCTCATTGAGATCTGTAAAACAATTTAAAAGCAGGCAGCATTAGTACTGTATTAACATTTAACAACAAACATGTCTACGATCGTGTGGGATTCCATCCCAGATTTCAATAACGTACCTGCTGATTCTCGGTCTTCCGCGCTTAAGGCCAGTGCTTCTTTCAGATTTTCATCAGATTTATCTGTGGCGGAAAACAATACATTAAACACCATCTTATCGCCATGCATTTTCTGTACTGTTTATCCTCACACACGTCTGCTTCTCTTTCATCTGTATTCACAAGTAGGAAAGATGCAAGAATTATTTAAATGGATTACATGTATAATTGACAACCAGGCAAAAATTTAGCATTTTCCTTTTGTTAAGATCAAAAGATTCTCAGCGGTCTTTAAGATTATTCTGAGCAATGAACTAGTGGTATGGGGGAAGGGGGGGGGGGGCGTGGAGTGATCCTTCCCGACCTGCTCAGAAAACAGTTGGGAGAGACAATTCTACTGAAAATGTTGAACATGTTCAATATTTATGCTCGCACATTCTGTGTGTGTGGTCAACACATATTTTGGCCACTAAGAACACTTTATCATCACAATTTAAGCATTGTGAAGATGTTAAAAACGGTGATGTGTGGAGAGCCCAGTTAGGGAAAATCATATTGAAATGCAATATAAGTGTATTACCTAATGAGCCAGAGCCATGCAGGGTTTGATGCTCACTCTGATCAACATCCATCTCAATCTGCTCCGTTTTAAACACGACACTTCCTAGTGTGTCTGCATGGGGGTAGAAAAGAGATAATTTTTACTTCATTTTAAATTAACCATGTGCAACGAATAGGTCAAACTGACTATTAAGAATAAATATATTGATTAATCGAGCTATGAAGCAAAGGAGGGCACTACTTGGCTGCTACCAGCAGAAGTGCTGTTGATTCAGTCTCAACTACTTTACGGTCTAAAGAACATCGTGTAATCCTTGTGAAGTTGTACTAAAGCCATTACACGGCACAACTTAACATTATTCGGCCACATACAACAGTAGCTGAGAAAAAGCAGCTCAGAACATCGAGAGCTTTTCCCATCCCATTAAAAATAATATCTTGCTCAAATGAAATGATCCCCCCCATTTGCAAATTGCAGCATTTGTGAATTCACCATGGAGAATTTCTTTTGGAACCAATGCTTTATCGGTGCCTCAAAAGTTTTACTTTACAGTGTTTTTGTGCATGCCAAAGTCATGAAGGTTTAGTCATAAAAGTAAATAAAAATGTTAAAGAAGTGTGGTGATATACCATTTCGCTGTTCTTTGACCTCAACATCATTCAGTGTTTGGGGTTGTTTCGTGATGTCTTTCCCGCAGGTCCTGGAGCTCGCGCATGGCTGCAACGCACAGTGCTGGGAATGATGGTGATTATGGAACTTCGGAACATCCCCGAAGCGTTGCCTGCAAGTTTGGCATTCTACTTCAAAGGTCTTGTCTAAGTTCAATGCAGAGTGCGTGGTGTTGACGTGCGTCTTGATCTGAGCATAGGAGGGCACGCAAAGAGCGCAAGGAGCACACACATATTGACATAGACCTTCGGAGGATAGTGTCTTCATGCACTGAGTGTAGGCAACTTTCATTTCATCTCTGTTCTTCTCGGAGTTCATGCAGGGACATGACTCCGCAGATGTAATCCTCACAGCAGGCTGACCAAGATTGGGGTTTCCTATAGAATAGTAGTCGTTACTGTGCAGGCTTTTGTAGTGGTGCAGGAACTCTCCTTCAGACTCAAACTGCATGCTGTCGCAGAGACCGCAGAAGTAGGCGCTCTTCATTCGCCCGTCGTGCTCGTTGGCACAATGCCGCCGCACGGTGGACTCCTTGAAGAACTTCTGCGGACAGTGGCCGCATATGAACCTTTGAAAGCTGTGGCTGCTCAGGTCGCCGCAGTGTTTGCGGACGGCAGCCTCCGAGTCGAAGATGTCCTCGCACATTCTACACATCCAAGTCGACGCCGCTCTCGAAGAGGATGCAGATGCCGCCTCTGGGATGGGCCGAATCGTGGACTTGGATGTGGTGCACGGGTCCATTTCGCTGTTACTGCTGGTCGACGGTTGGGCATCATCAGGCACATCCTGCTCAGTGAAGAAGGTGTGCCCGGCGTGTGTGTCCAACACGTGTGACATGATATCCTCGAGGCGAGGCATTTCCAATTTGCACTTGCGGCAGTAGAAAAAGAAGTTGGATAGATGTGCGCCCCCGTGAAATCGGCTCATGTGCAAGCGGGTGATGGAAGATTCTCCCATGCGTTTGCCGCACACACCGCATTGGTAAAAGATTTGGTTCACAGCTAAGAGGTGATTACCGGCCGAGGTTTCCTCCGTGAACTTCATTCCACACTCGCAGAACCATGCGGTCGTGCAGCTTTTTTTTTTTCGTTTGGCAGGTGTCTTTTCATACTCGCGCTTAGTCTTGCTACTTTGATGAATGAGTGCTCCAAAGTTGGCACTTTCCTCCTCATGATTACCCCTGGCCCTGTCCTGTTTTTCATTAAACCAGTCGTACTGAAGAAGAGCTTGCTCCATGGTTCTGTTGACCGCCACCTCATGTTGGGTGTCTTCTTTGTGGCGTTCCACTTCTGTTTGGCTTAGGAAGATTAAAAAGCAGCGAGAGCACTGGCCTCTCACTTGCAGTTGTTTCATTACCTGCACCACTGTCGCATCAGCCTTCGCCACTGCACTGCCATGTCTGCAGTTCACACTAGGGAAAGAACAGCATAGAAAAATAAGATCCGAAATTATCACATGTACCAAGTGGCCTCAAAATGTAACGACCAAAAAGGATTTTTTTTTTCTGCCATATTGTCACAGGATAGACAGTGTGGAGTTAGATGCACTGGTGTTGCGTTAAAATTTGTTTCTGCCACTTAAATTTGGAGCAACAGGTTTTGATACTGATGCATTTTACGGGTATGGGGAGATTAAAAAATAAGAAGAATTAAAAAAAAAAAAAAGAAGAAAACTTACTTAAAGTGAGCTTGAGCTGCCTGATGAGAAGTCAGCACTTTTTGACAAAAAGAGCATCGGACGTTGAATGGGGTTTCCCTGCACAAGGCAATGAGGCGATTCTTAGCGAGCCTTGGAACCGGAACTGGTACCACTTCTCTTTTGGTGTCTTTAAGAAATAGAAGTTAAATAAAAAAACAAATTGTCTCACTGGTACGACACCTCATCAGCAACGTGATTGACACATTATATATTCAGCTACTTCAAGGGCAGGAGCTGCTTTATCATGTACGTGCAGAGGTTCCGTTAAAAACATATGAAGTAATCTCACCACTCATAGTGAGAGACTCAGTGAAGTGATTTTTTGCTGCCATGTGCTGAAGACATTCGTCCCGCTGGTTGAAAAGGAGGTAGCAGGCGGGACAGGCAAAGCCCACGATGCATTGGTAGCTCTGTGACATGCAGTGACCGTCGGGATGAGATGACAACACCTAAGAAATGAAAACATTGGCTTCAGTCATGGAGTTCAATGTCGAAGGGGGATTTCACGAGTTACTATGGAGGAGGAACCTTAGATTCAAGATGTGTCTGCCACTCTTCTTTGGTCTGAAAATGACGACAACAGGCCATACAGGCGAATAGCATTATGGAACTTCCCTTAAGACTGATGGTTGGATCGCAAGGTGAGTGGTCAAACCTACAAATAAAATAAATCAATAAAATGTTGACCAAACTATTCCACATTTGCAGATAAATGTATATCAAAAATGTACAGTATCAAATTAACCTTTTCAGATGTCCTTCAAGGAGAGACACGTGATCAAAAACACGACAACAGTTAATTACAGGACATGCGTGTTTAGTCGAAGTGTTCATGGGGAAAGCAGCTCTGCGTCGTCTTTCAGAACCAGAACTGACCACTCCAGGCCGCAGACCTGAAAAAAGAGGCAGATTCTTTACAATTTGTCACAAGGTAAATCAATTGTAAACTATGGCCAGAAAAAAAAAATGCATGTTTATTAAGGAGGTTTGTGGTTACTTCATAGTGTGCGGTGAAGAGATATTCTATTTTTCTTTTCAGATGCATAACATACCTGGCATTTTTAGCCACATCTCCACACAGCGCTTTGCCTCTAGATTTATTCCATTTGTTGGGGTAATCGCAAGTTCCTGCTGTCCATGAATTTTTTGTTGTATTTGTTTCTCCTGAGTAGAAGCCAAACAACAGAACATTGTGACATATCACATAAGTATATAGGAAGCTATATGCGGAAACAAAAATATTGATTTTATTTGTTCAAACAGTTTGAGGTCTAACGATGTTGAGTTTCCCAAAGTATATAAAAGGAGCTGTAGATTATTTGTGTAGAATCAGAGAACGATAACACATTCAGTTTACTTAAATAATTATTTTGGACAGCATAAACTAAAATAAATGTATACTATGCAGTTCGGACTAATATGACCAACTCATCAAATTTAATAGATTTTTTTTTCCCCCCTACCTTGAATGCTCTACATTTATCCGCTCTTTCCTGCTTCTCCAGAGCCACCTGTTGTGCCAGTCTATCCAGAGTAGATTCAACATGTGCCTTTTGACGGTTGATTTGATCTTCGATCTTCAGGAGCGTAAAGGCCACGGAAAGGAATCAATCAAAATTGATATGTTTCCCACCTAATTGTAATACATATTTAGTTTGGCCGCTCACCATTCTTGATGAGGACGAACAGCCCTCTTCGTCACTATCGCTCAGCAAATCAACACATTCCAGCACTGGCCTGAGTTGGCCTTCCTGTGGAAAGAACAAGAACAGCATCTCATTCGATCGCCACGTTCTAAGATGCTAAATGAATGCGAATATTCCTGACATCAATTTTCAAACAACCATTAGACAATTTCATGAGCCTTACAGATCTGTAAAATATTTATTATATAATTGTACTTTGATATGGTTTTGTACACTTGACTTGATGTGGAACTTACAGATACAAACTCCACGTCTTCAAACCCATCGTCTTCTTCTTTATTTGGAGACGACATGTATCTGGAGAAAAGCGACACCATATACATAAGTGGGACAGGGAACTAGCAGTTCAGCACAAAGATCATCAGACTTAAAATGTAGCACGTTTGTTGACTAAACCAGCCTTGTCTTGAACAATCTCGAACTGTTAGATGCACATTTTCAGCCAATTTAACTGAAAATAGGCATTACTGTATTATTTGGTTACAATTGGCAACATTATACAGCTGTCGTTAAAAGATACGACACAAGAGCTTAAAAAATGGACACACATGAACATGCATGAAGGGTTCCAGAGAATGCAGCTGACAAGTGACGTAAAATCAACAGTAGAACACCCCCTCCAGACCGAAAAGGCGTTTGCTAACCTTCTGCAACTTCATGGATCCTGTCCCCCCGGTACTTTTATTTCTGGAGTTTTGTTTTTGCAGAGATACTAAAGGCCTCCAAAGGCAGCACCGAGCTAATGTGTGAATTCAGAGTACTTATTTGATAGCAGAAGAAGACCAAAAAAACGCTAAAGTGCAAAATTAATGTCACATTTTCTGTCGTGCAAGCACAGCATTGACGCAAATCGCATTTCTTAGCTTAACTATTTCTTGACGCCATTGTGAAGCTTTATAAAAGCCACAGGGGACTGTCTTATTGACGCAAACAAAATGCTGGAATCGATCGAAATGTGAAGCCGGGAACTCACTTTTACGATTGGAAACCCATAATTTACGTCTGTAGGATGTGACATAAACCATCAAACCACAACGTTACCTTTTCGCTTGTACTCCGGTTTTTATGACTTCTTTCTCTCCCGCCGTTCCGTTTTGTTGGTTTGCCGTAAAGCATGCCTAATTGCGCTATATACGTCATAGTGACTTTAAGCAGTAGCACTCATTCGAAATTCCGGTCGTCCCACGCGGGCGGTATTGGTGTCTGTTTAGAGGTTCAAAAAATTGCGCCCTTATTTTTTTACCTTAATGTGAGACCTGTCGTGGATATATTCCATTCGAAAAGATTTAATTTTGATGATAATGTGTGCACACGATGGATTGACAAATGGATATCATGAAGACCTTGCCGCAGCTGTGCCACTCGCAGATCGCCCTCCAGTGGAGAGATGAATCAATGCAAGTATATGCACATTTTTTGTTTCGCGTTTTGTATGGAACGCAGGTTGGCCGGAAAAATATGGGAAGTTTCAATTAAAAAAAGATAGCACTCATTCGAAATTCCGGTCGTCCCACGCGGGCGGTATTGGTGTCTGTTTAGAGGTTCAAAAAATTGCGCCCTTATTTTTTTACCTTAATGTGAGACCTGTAGTGGATATATTCCATTCGAAAACATTTCATTTTGATGATCATGTGTGCACACGGTGGATAGACAAATGGATATCATGAAGACCTTGCCGCAGCTGTGCCACTCGCAGATCGCCCTCCAGTGGAGAGATGAATCAATGCAAGTACTGTACTGTACTGTATATGCACATTTTTTGTTTCGCGTTTTGTATGGAACACAGTTTGGCCGGAAAAAAAGGGAAGTTTCAATTAAAAAAAGAAAAAAAACATAGGCAAAGTACAAACATTTGAGATGCTATCGTACTATGATTTACGAGTCACGTACCTCTGATTATTGATACTCAAGATTTATTATGTACAGCAATTTGTGATAGCTCTGGGTGTTTAAGTGCTCTTGAGAAAGCTGAGAGTCACATAATTGTTGAAGATTTTGCTTTGTATTTTTGTTAATTGTATACAGTACTCAGTTTAGTACATTTTATGTTTTTTTTTTTTTTTTTAATTTTACCTTCATGTAATTTCATTCGTTGAAATATTTGACTTTGACTGCAGGAACCAAGGGCAGCACAGTGACTTGGGCCTTCATGTGTGGCATTCGCATGTTCCCTCGATGCAATCACTTAATGCTTCCCTCTCATGTTCCAAAAACATGTGCATTAGGTTAATGTACGGTATATGTGAATGTAAGTTGTTTAAATGCTAGCCAACAAGTGCCCTGCTGTTGCAGGATGTACCTTGCCTCTCGCCCCAAAGTAAGATTGAATTGGCTCCAGCTCACCTTAGAGCCAAATGAGGACAAGCACTCGAGAAAATGGAACAGGACCGGCTCGAGGCACAAGCAAACTACGCTGCTGCTTGGGGACTCCTAGGTGGACCAAAGTGTAAGTATTTTTTTAAAAATACATGACAAAAACATGCTGGCAGGAACCTCCAAGTCATATTCGGGTACAGGTCCAATAAAGCTTTTTCTGGCCCTTGATGGATGGATGTAGGATGCAAGCAGGCATGGGCCACTGAGCCTGTGGGTCACACACAGTCGGTACTATATGAGCGTTCACCATGGTGGTCACTTAATGCTTCCCTCTCATGTTCCAAAAACATGTGCATTAGGTTAATGTACGGTATATGTGAATGTAAGTTGTTTAAATGCTAGCCAACAAGTGCCCTGCTGTTGCAGGATGTACCTTGCCTCTCGCCCCAAAGTAAGATTGAATTGGCTCCAGCTCACCTTAGAGCCAAATGAGGACAAGCACTCGAGAAAATGGAACAGAACCGGCTCGAGGCACAAGCAGACTACACTGCTGCTTGGGGACTCCTAGGTGGACGAAAGTGTAAGTATATATTTTTTTAAAACACATTACAAAAACATGCTGGCAGGAACCTCCAAGTCATATTCGGGTACAGGTCCAATAAAGCTTTTTCTGGCCCTTGATGGATGGATGTAGGATGCAAGCAGGCATGGGCCACTGAGCCTGTGGGTCACACACAGTCGGTACTATATGAGCGTTCACCATGGTGGCATGCAATTCTAACGACATGATACCTCTGATGAACTGTTTTAGAAAAAAAATGTTCATAATAAACATGGGTTCCACCACCCCTAACTCCAAAATTACATCATCCTTGTTGCATCAGTCTGGCATGAGAGTGTTTGTTTGCCCCTGAAAGGGTGTGCAATAATACCTCCATCCTGATCAAAACCCATGGGTTTAAAAACATATAAGGATGTGCTTGCATTTTACAATTGACTGACATGTCAACATGATTATGTAAAGCTCTCCCAGCCATAGAGAGATCCAAAAGCTTGATCCTTTTTGGCGAGTCCCCCTGCGTCTGCTGTGTTTTGGTCTTGGGGGAGGTAAAGGAGGCGGTGGCGGCAGAGGAGGAGGAGATGTGAGTCAAGCGGCTCTCGGCTACCTCATCTCAGCTTGATGATGATCGCTGCCGTGTTTCTGGTCCTCCTCAGGCCGCTCTCTGTTCAGTGCGCGCTTTTGTTGCTGTTACTGTTACTCGGGACCGTTGCCACTATCGTGTTTTTTTGTAGCTGGCAACGCTACGTCGCTCGCGGGAAGCAGCCCATCAGATCAGCGCTCTCAGGGCGCTCCAAGTGTCGCGGTGAGTGTTGGAATATTGTTCATGTCCTCATGTCTCATGTTGTCAGGGCTGCTCCATATAACAAGAAGAATTGATTTGAAAGCGCCGAGCGCCCGCTGAGGCGTTCATGTGCGCAAAGATGCTGTCAAAAATGGCCCTTTCACATGAGACCTGTTTATCTGCCTTTGTACGCTGCCTCTTGAATTTACTGCAAGGCTAACTTGTCTTGTGTTCCGTAGTGGGCCTCCGAACGCATCATTTTCGATCAGAGGTAGGATGAACTTTTGTCATTATAAGTTTAGTGCGTCATTCTCGTCATAGTCACCAGTAGCGTCATCGGTCATTATAATTTTAGAAATTGTTAGTTTACGCAGACTGTTAGTATTTTTTTAATTGTTTTTATTATTACTACTTCAGATATGGCACCCGTTGTGGCTAAAACATTTGGTTTTACTTTAATGAAAGACCGCATTGCTATTTATGGACCACCAAGTGCGCAGTGCGCATGTGTCGTCAATAATGTGGGTGATTTGGCAGATGAATTTCAAGCAGGTTTAACACTCACTTGTTTTTGCAACAATATGCAGAGTCATATTTGATATTTTGTCTAATTAATAAATAATAAGGACATAATTTGTTTACAATTCATGTACAATATTTGTTGGTCCTTATAATGAAATTTATGCTCGTTTTTTGTGTTTCCGTTTATGGGACTTTGTTTTCAAAATAAAACGTATTCCTCGAACTCGGTGAAACGTTTGGAATACTGTAATACACAAACCTAAAAATAACATTTAGAAAGAAAAACTCCATTAGAACTGAAGTGAAGTGAATTCAGCTGTAGCACAGGTGTAAACAATATATTTTAGGGATTCCTGGTCCTGAACAATTATATAATAATAAAACTATTAGTGACCCTTGTTTCTTTTCTTTAGTAAACGGTGGAGTGATAGCTACTGATGAGTATGTAGGCAAAGTTTGCATATACAGTACTTCAATCTAATGGAATTGTCTTTGTTTGGACTTATTCATTTCTGCTTCTTCAACTATATGTCAACCAAATGCACCATTGTTAAAGTAACCCAATTGTGATTGTAATTGTCTGCTCTTGTTTCCCAGGGCTTCAGACACAGTCCACGCCACTCCAGGAGAAGCTCACATGCTCGAGTGACGGAGGAAAAGTCCAATTTGGTGGAGGTCCCAGGCAATGAGTTGGATTCTTCATCAATTCTCAGGAAACGCAAAGTGAAGAAGCGAGTCCTGCCGGAGTTTTATCAGTCTGTGCAAGTCACTCCGACACGCAAAACTGTAGGTACTTAAGGTGAATGGTCAAAGCTAATAATGGCAATCAAAAATCTCCAAACCCTTTTCAAAAGGCTTCTGTTACATAAAAAAATGAGACCAATATAAACTATTTTAAAACATTTTCAACTTTAATGTGATCTATATACTGTACAAAAAGGCTTTGTTTTCAATTGGCGAAGTAAAAATAAACTATGATTATGTGGTTGGATAAGTGCGCACACGTTTTTATGAGTAAGGATTTGCCTGTGTTATGACATGCTATTTCAAACTCTTTATAGTTCCCGCCACTGTGCCTCGAATATGGCCCCAATTCCAACTTAAAAAAAAAAACACCCCAAAGCATGATGCTGCCACTGTATTTATGATGTTCTTTAGGATTTAGGCAGGGTAACATACCATTTCGAAGTATGGCCAAAAAGTTCCACTTTAATTTCAGAGGACCATAACACTTTCCAAGATACGAGAAAAGCCTTCCACCATATTCCACACATACTTGTATGAAGAAGATGGGAGATTGTTGATAAGATTTACTGAATAGCCAGTTCTTGCCAGAAAAAGCTGCAGATCCTTTAATGCTTCTGTTAGCATCCTGGCAGCCTCCCAGACAAGTTTTCTTCTTCTTTTTTTTTTTTTTTTCATAAATTTTGTATGGATGCTCAAGAAGCACCTTGGTCATGTCATTGTTGTGCCACATTTTGTCCACTTGATGGTGTCTGTCTTTATTTTGTTTCATGGTTTATCAAGGACCTGGCGTTCTTTTGTTTTTGTTTTTTTTTTAAACCCTTTACCTTTGATCAATAAGATCCCTCTGCTGCCGTGGAAGCTGTCTTTGGACTATGGCTTGTGTTGTAACATGTGATGAGAAAAATGTCAGGAAAAGTCTACTAAAGCAGCTAAACTTTATTTGGGGGTAAATCAGAGTCACTCTGCAGATGTGTGCTGACTCTTTAACGTAAGTTTGAATGTGGTTGGTTGATTCCGAACATAGCCACATCACCTGTTCTGACAGCAAGTGCACAGTTTTGCAAGCATATCGCAGTTGTTTACTCCCTCTCTCTCTAAAAGGCTTCAGAGAATGTGTTTATGTTTCCATTGGAGTCCTACACATTTTTAGTGGAATGGTGAAAATGTTTTGAAATGATTGATCTTGGTCTCATTTTTATATCACAGATACCTGGCATTCGAGTAGATGTGTGTCAACCTTTTTTCTCCCCGCTGTTTGTATGAAATGGTCAGACAGTAGAGTTTAAATCTAAATATACAGTTTAACTGGGTTTTTCTGTTGGTTGTGTGACTGAAAATAGGGTGTGTCATTTTGGTAACTGATGATAAGGCAATGTTGTCAGCTACATTAGCATAATTGCCTTTGTCGTTTTTCAATATTTTTGGAAGACAGGAAAACGCACAATGTTTAGAACACCTTGGTATTTTTCATTGAGTCTTTTCCCTAGTGCTTACTTATTCACCCATCTGGTTGAAGATTTTGTTACAATATCGATAAAAATATATTTACATGTAATATATAATAATGTGGCGGACGACTTGAAAAGTGCACTTCCATATCTGGTAGATTGTATCCAATTTCGCAGAACATTTGTCATCCATAATATAAAACTGCAGAGCTAGAACTCCATAAAAATGTGTAATATCAACAGTTGAGAGAATTTGCGTTAAAACCGAGAGAGTGGCCAACTGTTTGGAGCAGTTAAGATTCTCCCGGTGAACACCTACTTCTAATACGCGCATCCCGTGTAGTTTTGTTCTTGAGAAAGATATCACACACACAAATAATATGAAGTGTTCCATCCAAGATATAAAGTATCATATGCAGGCATTCTCTTTCTCCATGTGATGTCTCCAGCCAGTGTGATAGAAATTGCATGGCTCAGATGTTTACACCAAGAGAGATGTGAGAAATGATCTCATCGATCTCTGCGGCTGTGCAGCAACTTCCTGCCTCCATTAGTCGTGCGACAGAAATGCGGATAGCGTATGAAACCCATTAAGATGACCTGAGACATTTGTTTTCTATTACAGTGAAATCCAAATCCACACTACTATCGTCAAAAGTATCGGGTCACCTGGCTTGGCGTTACTTAAAGAATACATAATTCAATTGCAGTTATAACAACATCCAGTCTTCTATATTCATTGATCCAGAAGAACAATTGTGTGGTCAGGGTCGCGTCTCAATTTGTCTGATGGGTTTTGGTTATATTCTTTCTCACCTTCAATCCTATTGAAATTAGAAGGAATTAGGGTGCCTCGCCCAAATCTTATTAATTAATGAGTAGATTAACAAGTGTTTCAATACTTTCTTTTATACAATATGGCTCAAATTCATGGTTCAAATTATATTGTTTATGTTTTTTGTGTCGTAAGTAGGCAGGTTTTTACTGGTGCCTAAATAAAGAAATAAAAATACAACCACTACTGCCACACTGTTGTGCAGTGAGTAGCTTTAAAGTGTAGCGGAGGAGCACAGATAAACGTTCTTGAGGGTGCTTTTAACAACTTCAAAGGTTCTATTTATAGGTGATCAAATGTTGTCTGCATTCAGCACACACGGATGGATACTTAGAAATGTGCTGTCAAAACATGCGTACAAATCTATGAATGCACCACTTTTTAAAAATGCAAATGCTTCCGTGCTTTGTATTTGACCTTTCTTGGCAAGTTTTATGTTCTAAAACCTAACTGAGCGTTGTGTTGAGGGATGCAGCATCTTATTAGAGAGTTTGAGGTATTATTATTGAGCTAAGAATGGTGTACCTCTTGTAAGACGGGGGATAAGCCTTGAATTTAAAAAAAAAAAACATGGGATGGGCTCTAATCTGTCAGCTATTCTTATCCCTGCCCAGATTGCTTCTTATATAAAGGAGAGAATCATTAAGGCTGACCCAGGATAAACACTTTTCCCCATGGTGCTAGACTTTTTTGTATCATAATCTTATCCTTATGTGAAAGGAATTATGAACACACTGAAAAGGATGATAAAAATGCCAAACGTTATCATGATGAAACGTGAACAAAAGATGGTTTCTATTATTAACAGTTTGACTGAGCTCAGAACAGTCCCTTGAAGGTGATTTCTTAAATTAGAATTTCTTCTTGAATCCCTGTAAATGTGAGATTGACATTTTTTTGCCCCCACATTCAACTCACGTCTTAAAACGACCTGGCCAGTCTTGTTTCCTGTGCTTTATTTGAAACATCACAGTCATCTTTCTCCATTTCAGATTTTTTTTTTGTGTTCCCATAAATCAAAGCTACTTCATGGTATATTAACACAAAGAGTGCACCACATTTCTCTGCTCACACTCACTCGGCCGGCTGAGAGAAACGGCAAGAGAACAACTTTCTTCTTTTATTTTTTGTCCTTGGTGAGCTGTGCCTTTGTAAAACAATGTAATACTGCACTTTAGTGCTCTTTGACAATAACGTTCTTGCTGACATCTGTTTCATAATTTGCTATGGTTTACAGCGTTTTAACATTGAGTGGGTTGCATATTTGTGAAATAAACCAAGATGGGCATTTTAAATCCCATGTCCACTATAATCTAAGACATGTTTAATACTTGTGTAAATTTAAAGATTTTGAAAAATCATCCGATTGTGATTTGTTTCCCCTCAATATTGCAATTGTAATTTAATATGAAATGGTTCTTTTTCCATCATCCTCTTCCCATGCATTTTTTTACAAACCCAAGCAACAAAAGAATCTGTATTACAATAAACAATATTAGATTAATTATACACAAATGCTTTGGTCTATTAGGTTAGTTTTACAGTAATGTAAAAGCAAATGAACCATGAATCAGTTGAAAGGTAGTTCATTCATCTACTTCAATTATAGCTAATTTACTCAACACTTTCACGTGCAGACACCTTCACAGAATTATTCAGTTTAATCAGATGACAAAAATAACGCAAACAAATTTGTGGCTTTATCACTGTTCATTTTTTTTCATGAAACAGTTACATGTGGACTGCACTGTTTTTTTTCTTTGTGAGTGTGAGGTGGGTTTTTTTTTTGGTCTATGTGGGAGGTTTTTATATACATATATATATATTATTCTTTGTGAGTTTTTTTGGTCTATGTGGGTGGTTTTTCATTGAGTATGTAATTTTTGGCACATTCATCAAAGCTTTCTAACTGCGTCCAAAATCCCCCTCAATAGTGTCACCTTATGTTTTATACAATATAGCCTGTCAGCGGGAGCCCCCTGGTGCTCTTGTCCTCCCAGCTTGTTCTGCGTTTGTATCCTGCTTGCACCTTTGCGGGTCGCTGTTGGCTCGCAGCCTCTTCTCTGGCTGGCTGGCTGGCGCGCATGACGGTGTGGAACACATGCACTGCCTGCCCTCCTGTCACAGTCTGCCTGCCAGCCTCGACAGCACGCGACTCGCCATCACCACAATCTCCTCGGCTCCTTTTGGAGCTCTGACATCACTTCGCATCATTCGCTCAATGAGCTCATATCGTGACCCATCCGGAGCATCCCCACAAGGGCGTGGCACTGCGTGGACGCACGGAATGTGGGATTGAACGCCGGAAGAAGACAACAACAATACGCAAATAGGATCGTTTTTTTTGGGGGGGGGGGTGCTTTTTATGATGTATAGCGTGGTAAGTCTTGATGTTGACCTGGCGGGGGAGCTATACAGTATTGTCTGCATGTTACCGTTAATTAGTGCTATCATTTGTTGTGAAAATGCTCTTATTTTACACACTTTGACCCCAATGAGACACATCTGACCACCCATGCCACACACGCATTTGCCCTTTCATTTTACAATGACTGTGATTCAAAATAACGATTTGTTTCATTGTTATCTCCTTTCGTCTCAGAGCTCCTGTTCGGGGAACCCTTCCCTCCACTGCTCCATGTCTTCCTCTGCGGATTTATCCGAGGATGAAGAATATAGTGTCAAATCTGGATCGGCATCGCCGGCGCCTGGCGACACTTTGCCATGGAACCTGCCCAGACACGAGAGGTCCAAGAGGAAGATCCAGGGAGGCTCCGTTCTGGATCCGGCCGAGAGAGCGGTACTCAGAATCGCAGGTGAGGAGCCACTTATGTTTTGCGTTGTGACTGAGGGGGAGAGTGCAAGTACACCGGGCGCACGCATGGCGTTATTGTGACGTCCTGATAAACCTTTTTATTGCCTGACACGCCCTGGTCTCTCTGCTAGGGGCTGTGGCATGTGTGATGGTATTTTGGATCAGGATGATGGCCAGTTTTTGATCGATACAGAAGATGGCTAGATGGATTGATGGCTAGCTGGATGAATGGATAGAAATTTGAGATCACATGAAGACGGTTCATAATCTCACTTGTACATCATCTTTAAAATGTTCGATTTGGTTTGAGGTCTGGGCTCTCAAATTCACACCAAACTATGAGTCTTCCAAATGTTTGTGTAAAAATAACAATTCACATTGGCAATCGGTACGCACATTCCAATAATCTGGATGAATTTCAGTGGTTTAATCAAAGTGAATGCCAGATTATTCTGGAAATGAACATTACACACCCCAGTCATTTATTAGTGTGGGGCGTGTTAGGACGGGTTTTTCCTCGACTATTTTCTTGGAAAACGACCAGGGGAGATAATATTAAACCTATTTACACATGTTCGTTGTTGTTATGGCCCCTACAGTTTTTTATTTCAAGGTGGAGGGTGTATCCCATGCCTGTAAATATATCATCTATCTATACATTTATCTACATATGTATCTACTTATCTATCCATCTTTAGATCAACCTATCCGTTCCTCCTTACTTCCATCCATCCATAATCTGTTAATTGACAAAATTAAGATAAACCCATCAGAAATCCGAAAAATAAAGTCCCGCACGCTTGATAGATTTGAAACCGGCTCAGCTACAGAGCGCCTCAACCGGATGCTGCAAAAAATGAATGCGTCATTCCAGTCAAATTTGTGTAATCTTAATTTTCTGACCGATTCACGAAACCAAGTGTCTGTTGTAGTACAGATATGTCGCATTTCCTCCAAATACAACGTTTGCATCATATTGTAACAATAAAACAAAATTCCAAATTCGGCTATTTGAAACGCGAGGAGGGACACTTTTTACAGCGCGTGCAGGTCCTCCTGGTCGTTCCGTATCAGTCCAGTCAAGTCCGGGCAGGAAGTTGGTCTTATTGGACGGGCTGCACGCAAGGGAGGGATGTTGGGCGTTTCCTTCGGTGCAACAACAGCCCCGATCACTCTTGAGGAGGTGCTGCATACACACAGGCATAGACACACACACAGAGAAATGATACACGCACACACATGTTGTGTCCCTGTCGCCCGCTGGTGAGCGTTCAGTGTGTGCAGGCCGTGTCATGGCTCAGCACGCCATGCAGAGCTATCCTCTCTCGGACGAACAGGAATACCTCCAGGCTTATGAAGACGTTTTGGAAAAATACAAAGGTAATGTGACTGTGACCGATTGTGGTGAGGATTTAGAATGTTGTCGGATTGCGGTTTGACAGCGCAATAGTCAGCATGACCCACCCACCCAAGCAGCCAGCCACCCCCTCTCCCCTTTCTCTGTCTGCCTCTGCTCGGATAATGTCCTTATTCGTGCTGTGCAAAGGTGGAAATAACTCAAGTGTGACATCATAGGTTGGGTTATATGATGAGATCAATTTGACAATCTGGTCATATGATATGAGTCTTGTTTAGATGCTTTGTGGAAGTAATCAGTGTTGAATAAGAAGCTATATGTGCTTTGTTGTTACTGAAATACAGCTTTTATATTTACGAGGAGGCACACATTTTCCCTCTTTTTCTTTACTAAATGATTTGTCAGATGATGTTGAGCCAAGTGTAGGTATCATATTGTATTGTTATGTCACATACAGCACTGATACACAAACATCTGGTATCAATACTGCCATGGTCGGTGGAGTTGTGTCTGCATAAAAAGAAATATATGTACTTGAATGCCTTGATTGTCATACCAAAATTATACTGCAAATGACACTCTTCCTTGGTGCGCAACCTAGGTTATATATTTTCTTACACACCCACTTAAACACTGTATAAAAGGCTAAGTTTTACCTGCTTTAGTTACATAGATATTTTGTATTCATAGATGACAGTAATTATTATAGGTTATCAGAGAATTGCTGTATAATGTTACGATGAATGGCAATATCTTGTGATATTGTATCTAGAGTTATTCAGGAAATTTTCACCCCTAATGTCTGATGTCTTCCTCTATAGAGGAGCTAGTGCTATAGCATTAGTATATTTGTCTATATTACTGGAGTTTGTAGTTTGTAGTTTTTGGTCTGTACACTAGATGTTTTTAGCTGAATTAGTTTGGGAAATTTTGGTCGAAGTAAGATAAAATATGTGGCTATTCAAGGGAATTGGTTCTGAAGATACATAATGGATAAAAAGGTGACAAACAAAAACCTGCATGCATACGATATGTACATAGAGAGGCCCATTGAACATTTTTACATGTGCTTTAGTAGAGATTCCTTTCAGGGTGGTCCACCTATGCGATGATCTTCTGGTGAGACAGATGAGACAATGACAGAGCAGGATTAGGCGTTTCCTCCTTCGAAATGCTACACTCAAATGGACGTGGTGCTGTGGATGTGGTGCACGTGAGCAGACTACATTAGTGAGACAAAATCATGCACATGAGTTGTCAGGCCAGGCCAAAGGGTGGAGATCCTGTGGAGCTAAACTGAACCTGACAGCCCGACTTTTAACTCCTGCGTCTCCTCTAGGCACATACAAGCAAAGCGCAGCAAAAAAAAAAAAAAGAAAGACTAGATAGGATACAAAGATGCACTTCGGAGTTAATTCCCTCAGCTGTTCTAAGCCAGCAGGGTCAGTTAGCTGTGGTATTAAACACCCTCCTTAGACTCTATTGAGATCATATGATATAGCATAATTAGCCAGAAGAACTGTGACCGACAATGAGCTGACTTCTTTGGCTTGTCGCTATCACATAAACGAACACTCATATCTGAGCATCAGGATACAGTCGACTCCCTGCTGATTTTTACTTTGAAGATGAATTTTCTCAAGAAGCGTAAGACATGCTTTCTTCATGTTTTTTGGTGATAATTCCATGGTTTTATATTGAGTTTAATCATATTTTTATAGAAAAAAATAGTAGCGTTTGCAATCTTTTTTTTCCTTGCTTGGTCTTTCATGTTAAATGTGAAGTGTATGGGAGATTAGATTTTGTCTTGGTAGGCTTCAGCTGGTTGACATCTTAATTGTTGCAAAGTACATGATTCTTGCTAGAATTTATCACCATTTATCTGACTAAGCTGAGAGGCAGCAGGCTTTAGAGGCATTATATAGATGCCAAAGTGGCTGATCAGCAAAGTCTTCATGTTTAATCTTGAGAAATCGCTTCCTCCCTGTTAAAAAAGACACCCTTTTTTGTTCATTTACAAAAACGTTACCTGCTTTCCAATTACAATGTTTGGATAGCATATCTGTTTTATGGTAAGGTTGGAAATTTGAAGCCAGGCTCCTTTGTATGTGGAGTTTGCTTGTTCTCCATGTGCTTGGATGTTTTTTTTCCAGGGACTACTGCCTTTAACATTTAAGAACATGTATCTTAGATTCTAAAGACTGCAAATTTTTCAAAGTGAGTGAGTGTGAATCCTTTTTTTGTTAACTGTACATGTGGCCACCCGGCTCTTGCCCAGAGTCAGCTGAGATAGGCTCCAGCACAACCGCAACCGCTGTGACGTACAGAAAATGGATGAATTGGCGGATATTTCGCTATCAATAAGACTAAATGTCGACACAATGTAGCTATTATGTGCATCGTATTTAATAAGCTACAGGTATACACAGATTGATCATACTTGCACAGTACAATGACATACAATTCAAGACCCCTATCTAACAATTCAGTCTTCACAAAGATACAGTAAGTCTTTTATTTAATTTTTTTTGGCTTCATAGCTTAACATTTTTGTTGTTACTGTACCTTATCGCCAAATAATGCAACTAAACTACAGTATTACAAACATATCACAGGGTGAGTTGATTGTCCAACTGCACTCCATCTTATCAATATACAACGATAATAATAAACATAATGTTACTCTGGTAGTGTCACTCAAAACTCAGTAAGGCAGACTGATTTTCAGGGAAGAGTTTTTGGTTTGGTTTTAATTCTTGCTGTTATGATGAGCTCAAGCTTCAAGCTTCTCCCCATGTAACGATGAGAAGACTAAAAACAAGAACACATTTCCATGGCAAAATCACAACACAGGCACAAAGACAAGCCAAAAGCCAGAGGGCTAATCTATGCACGAGGCGGAATTTCTATGTACCTCCCCATCTAGTCATACGATGATTATAGACTACAGTATCTGCAAATGTATTTACATTGTCTTCACTGGCTGTTCATTTTAACGACCTCATTACATACAAAAGGAGGTACTGTCACATTGTGGAAACTCAGAATTATAATTACACTGAAAAATATGTACATTTTCAGCATGTAACTTGCACTGTATTACCATCCAAAATTGGAATTGTGGAAGAAATGAGAGTTCATAATTCAACTATGATGTGATTTAGCACAGCAGAACTCGGATGGGGTCATGTACGTGTTTGTTAGCGCTCGCTTACAAGAAGGCCTCACTAATTAGGTATTAGAGGTAATCACACACTTAACGACTTCGGGTCACACTGCAATTTAGTCATTGCTTTACAATAGACTATACACTTGTGGAATGAGATAAAGACAGCATTTCTTAGGTACATGTAAGTATGTAGACTAGAGCGATGGGTTGTGTTGGCTCACACTGTTCCAGCAAAGCCTGTTTGGTTGGCCACTCAACCTCTCAAATTGCCAACTGTCTTGAAATTGCCAAAGTTTCAATGCAATGTTTGGCGGTCCACTCCAATTCTGAACATTTAAATGGGTTGGAATGGCAATATTATTACCAAACAGAATGTATATAAAATGTGTTTGTGCCTTAATACTACGACGGCACAACACATCACATTTCATGAAGTAAGCCCTACAAAACCTCAAGAAGGCTTTCGGTGTAATTC